CACAACTTCTTCCTTCGCAGAGTGAAAATGCTACAATTGCATGGCGGCATTGGGGGGCAGCAGCCGTGGAACGGAATGTTGTTGGGTTTCAGGGAGCAGTTGGGATTGGCAGGATCAGTCCCTTGCCGCTCTCTCCTTTGCATGCCCTGTTGCCTCGACGAGGGATCCCAAACCACGATAACTTGGGAACAACACTATTCTCGAACTGCGGGCTTACGTACTCACCTACGAAGTACAACTATATACTGCACTCGTACTGAAGCTAAGAGAATCCATCATCGATCTTGACACGCTTAGTACGTAAGACTCGAACGAGGCCTGCCTGGCAGTGGAGACATCGAAGCATTCAACTGCCTCATACCGAGCCTCATACCGAGGTGAACAAAAGAAAAAAAAAATTTTCTTAGAAAATGCAGCCATCGGCCCAGAGGCGGGTGTGCCTTCTGTCCTTCTGTCGTGCACGTTCCGTCTACTGGTTTGTGCATTATGATCATGGTAATAGCTTCATGGCACTTGAGGTCGAGTGCCGTGGGTGCAATTCCCAAAGTCACTTTCAAGCTTGTGCAGCCTACAAAGTACAAGTAGCTGATCCGACTGTGATATTGAAGAAGCTGTGACCAGCCGTTGTCCCACTCTAGCACTACCTCGGTACTTCGTAGAGCCCCAGCTCTAAATTTATACACAAAGTACTTACTTGTACGAGTCATGTTAGCAGCAGCAACGTTGACATCATCGCAGCCAGTCCCCAGTGTGCTCAACTTCAAGATCAATCTCGGATCAATACCCATTGTGAGATGGCTTCCGAAGGACGTGAGCTTCTAGGACCACAATGCAATGCGGAAAAGACAGAGACGGAATATTCAATGCAGATCCTAGCGCATCCTCATCCTCTTCCAGGGCAAGCCCACGGAGAAAATTCTCGACGAACATGGTTGTTTAATTGCAGAGTTTCAGGCGTGATACTCAACCTTCTAGAATGTAATATCGGCACCAACGAACCCTGGAGAGGGATGGAAAAAAACTGACTGTGGGCCAGGCCATGCCCCATTGCCATGCTAGTCGTACCCGCACTGGAGAAGGGGGGAGAAAATTGGAACATGCCACGCGAAATTCAGGTGCAAGGAACCCCCCGACAAAGAAACGTTCGGAGAGCCTGGTTAGTAAAAACGCCTAGCTACGATCTGATACAAGCTAAATCTCTTGCCCTGGTCGACCTCAAAATGTTTGCTCCAGCTCCAAGCCCGGCGTTCGTCCGACCGTCGAAAAGGCCTGGTACCGAGATCAGATTCCAACCCAGTGAATTTCTTCATCGTTCGTTTTATTCCTCCACGATGAAAACTGTAACCACCATCACGAGCAACGTCTGAGCGTTCGGCAGTGTTGAGTCTCCGCCTTCCCCTATTCAAATTGGTAGTGATCTTCGATCCAGGGCTGGACCAGTTCCGAGAGACGGAAGCTAGCTCCAAAACTACCAACAAAGAAATCGAATCTCAAAAGGATGGGCGGAACGAGACCTAACACGACGCTTAACCCTACTCCAAGTAGTATAGAAGGTTTGGGCGCACGGTCTCCCGTTGAAGAGCCTTCACAGCTGGCCTGGCGTGATATCCGCAGTAGGAATGGTATAGCGGGTGGACAATGTGGCCTGGGCAACCCGATTTCAACACGTCTACCGCAAAGGCGAACGAGGAATCCCATCGCCCGAGTGCCAACGCGAGAAGAAGGATTTTCCCACAGGCGCCTATACAAGTAAGTACATAGCAACCGAAAGCCTGAAGTTCCCGAAACGCACTCGGGAGGCCGGAAAAACATCATCCAATTGCCCATCCCTCGAGGCAGCTCCGTTGAGAATGGGTCGGGATAGAAAACCCACCGAACTTTTCTCGGCGCAACTGGCAATTGCATCACACTGCGTGAAATAGGGCGTTGGGAGGCTGCGTTATGACCTTCAAATCCCGCAGTCACACCCGATATCCCGATACGATCCCGCGAGAAAAGTGTAGGAATCGGGTCCCACAAAATTCCGCAGGATCCTATAGATCAGGCTGGAAGACGGTCTACTCTGACCACTTTCTCGAAATTCCTGCAGGAACGAGGTGCTTTCCGTATGCAAGGCCCGCCCACAGAAGTGCAGCGCATTTCGAGCAGTAGCCTTCCCGGAAAACGTTTTCTGTTTTGTGGGCCTGCCCAGCCCCAAGAATGGCCAGGCCCTGCGAGATCCAGCATTGCTCGTCAGAGTGCATCCTTTCCCTTTTTGTATTACCCGCATGTTGGAATACGAAAAGGCAATGGACACCTCTTCACCGACTTGGAAATTCTGGCTCCGGCCTGTCGTACAGACCCGGCATCTTGAGGGTCCGGGCATAGATCGAGGGGAACAGACGTATCATAATAATGAAAAAAGAAAAAGAAAAAAAAAATCCCCGCGAAAGCCAACGAAGGCTGGTTATTCCGGAAAATGTGGGGATTTTAGTGAAACGGCGAGTGGACAGCCTGGGCAGGCATGGGCATGGGATGGGTATGCTGTACATATCTAACGGCTGGCTACGTGCCATACAAGGCACTAGATCTTGCATTTGCCTCGCATCTAAACACGAGAACACTTGCCCAACTCCACCCGTCTTGATCTTCCTGATGGAGCTATGCGGCTAGCCCAGGTGCGTCAGCCTCTGGAGCTGACCTGCGGAAATTTGCTCGTCTAAGAAGGATTATATTCCCGCCGCCTCAGACCATCCCCAACCTCCGGGGAGCTGTCTACACGAGGGTGTGTTCATATCCGTGCTTTCGAAACGGCCCGTATTACGAAGTATAATCCTATTTGATGCTATTCGCATAGAGATAAGTGGGGAATAATTATTCGGGTGCTCAAACAGACGGGATGTAAGCTCGAAGGCCTTGAACCGACTCATGCCTTGCTCACCAACACTTGCTTCTTTTACCTCAGTTTGGTCTACGGCATGACTGAGAAGCAGACAAGTTCAAGGCAAGCATAGACGCAATGTTACATACATGGCACTTCGTTGATACATTCCACTTCCTGTTTCTTCTCCATCTAGGTAGATCTCATCAAAAAGCCTATCCGTCGCTGGTTCACAAGGTCTCATCTTGAGAGACACGACTCGTATGACCCCGTCTTAGCATCTGATCGGTCCCTCACACTCTCCCTATTAATGAATAATGCCTATTAATGAATAATGATAAAAGTCTCATAGATCCCTTTGGGAATCGTGTGCTTATAAAAGTAGCATGTCAGCCCTCGACTTGGCGCTTTCGAGTGTACAACATGCAGATCACGGTCTCGCGACATATACTACTTTTCACCCAGACCACCGAGAACCCGGGGTTGCCGGCTTACTCGACACTTTCTCTTGGGTTAAATTTTCCCCCTATGCTTCTATGTACCTGACTCGCCAGCGGCAGCGTTTTCTCGATTGGGACCCGCAGCGGATGCACCAGTACGGGCCGGACCGTCGTGTATGTAGCCGGCGAAAGGGTGATGATGCAGATGTATACTTGGTGGCTAGCTGCGGGAATATCGCTTAAGCGGAGTCCAAAATGAAGTTCAAGAGGAGTGATGACATGGAGGCGGTTGCGTTTCTTCCGGTTTATGGGCGTGCACGAGAGCTGGACGATGCGGTGATCAAGCCCCCGGTGGTTCGTCGCGAGTCACGCTCGAGAAATCCTGCTTTGAGACTACTTCAGTCATGTTTTAGGTATAACTGGGTATTTATTGCATAGGAGGCTCGTTAAGTCCTAGTAGAAGCGCTGGAATGGGAATATTCTCGGATGTTAATTATATCCACAAACACATACCTGCCTGTGTCCGCTTAAATCCCGGATCACCATGTTTAGTTGAAGAAACAACACGGAAGCTTTAAAGACAACCCACCTTGGAAAGAATTGCAAATTCCTCCCCTAGTTGGCCAGAGGTGGCATCTTTGCCGGTTTTTTATGTGCGCTGCATGACGAGTACGACTTCTGGAGGCAATGGCGAGGTCATGAGTCTGGTGGCCACCATAGCATTTAGTCGGAGCTTGTTTCCTGTGATATTCCCAAATGCCCAGCTGCAAATACCCCAGAGGGCCTTGTACACGGCTTGATACTCATGGGAGAGACATAGCAATGGATGGTTGGTAGAACACTCACCATTTCATAACTGGGTCAGATGCCTCCTCGTCTTATCTAGGAAACAGCGCCAGCATCACCATGCTCCCGTTGATGATACCTTCGGTAGGACTTAAATTCCCTTGGGGAAACCCGAGGGGATGAAAAGTTCACGACACATATTTCTTATCATCGTGGCTGCCGCACACTTTGTTCCCTTCACCAGCCCAATTACAAGCAATCTGTGATAATACCGTCGACCCGGTCAAACCCTGTGACATCACCTGTGACCTCGTTCAATGATGCAATGACATAACCCACCGGCTTTTAAAGAGGAAACATGATGGGTTTGTCCTTTGCAAAAATTCTTTGGTGCTAAGGGAGAAGGGCATTGGATGAGGATATTGACGATATTTCTATGAATATAGACTCCACAGAGGTTGGGCGATATGGATTATATTTGGTCTCTATAGCTGCATACAAGGTCTTGTATCCAGCTTGGATAGAAACATGTCATCTTAGTCAGATAGAGGAAGATGAACATGAAAAATGCCTCACACCTCTTAAGAGTGAAGCGTAGAGTAACTACTCATTATCAACTTGGCACGTCACAGAAGTTATGTTGGGATCCTGTTCCATGTGAGCTTCGTGGTGGGTGTCTAACGCGTTTTGCGCTCAGAAAAGGCAGAAAAGGGGGTCCGAGACCCAAGGGAGTAAAGATATAACGTGAGTATCTACGATGGATATTCATGGGAGGTAGACGAAACAGCGTCCAAGTATTTCCACCAACTTCAGCCTAACCAGCTCACAGATTCCAAGAAACACAGCTGCATTTACATATTAATGGCTAAGATAGCAAGCGTCCTGCGTCCTATGTCCTATGATATGATACCACTTTACAACTTTGACGGGCCCTCATCTCTATCTACCTCCCCAAAGATATTGAGGAATGCCGTGTGAACTTCATCGGTCAAATCGCTCGCTTGCAGACTTCGACCCTTCTTCAGGAACGCAAGCCTTGAAGATTCCTATTCAAATTTCTGTTAGTGTTGCTCATTTTCCCCAAGACTCGGTCGACATCGAGAAAGCGCCTGGGGAGAGGGTAATATATATAACCATACCTTTGTGATAGCACTTCCCGCAGCAACCGCCAGACCCACCAACTCATCCTCATCCAACTTCTCGCTCTCACCCGAATCCCACAAATCTTCCAAGTACGCCTTTCTCCATCCCAAGAAAGTCGCAATCGCCCCCGTTAATGTGTCTCCCTGTCCCCCGCTCCTCTTCCTCCCTCCCTCCAGATCAATGGTAAGCGTCGTCGTCCCATTCGAGATGTAATCCTTCAACCCCTTCTGCAAAATCGTCACGCCCTTCAAACCCCTCGCCAGAGCCTCCACCCTCGCAGATTCACTCTCGACAACGCCTTCCTTATCCTCCACGGCCTTCTCGGTATCGACACCTAGCGCCTCGCAGAGCCTTCCAAACTCGACAACATTCGGTGTTAACACAGCGTCCGGGTAGCCTCTGACCAGCTCGGGATCCTTCTGCACCAGGAGCAACGCGTCGGCGTCGAGGACAACGGGGATGCCCCTCCTGCGAGCAGCGTGGAGGACACGAGCTACTGTGGCGTGCATGAGGGGATCGCGGCCGAGACCAGGACCGACTACGAGGACGTGGATGCGAGGTAGCATGGCTGTTATGGTGGCGGCTATATGCTCCGGGTCGGAATCGAGGTCCTTTTCAGTCGGGGCCGGCTGGTTGAGGGTGGGCCGAGTCTGCCGCATCAGAGGATGCACCATCAGGTTCGGGGAGTAGGTCTTTATGACGGCGGCAGCGGCTGGTGTGCAGATGACATGAGACTGCATATTTGTTAGATGTGATGCCTATGGTTCCTTCTTGCTTTATGGGATCCCAGGGTTTAAGAAGTTTCCTCATCGAGCGAGGACACCCATTTCCGGACTTACCATGTCACAGCCCAGCCTTGCACTGGCCATAGCAGAGAAGTAGGGCGCACCGGTATAATCCTCACTCCCTCCAATAACTGCAACTCTTCCCAATTGACCTGTAAATGAGGAGTCCAACGTCAAAAGCTGTTCACCAAGGTTACCCGGAATCTCGGAGATAGCGCCGACCTAACTCCCGCGGACTCATCGTTTGAGCTCCTCACCCATCAAACACTCACCTTTATGGAACCTTTCCAGCATCGGCGGAATCATCCGCTGGGCCTTAGATAGAATTTCTCTTGTTTTGATAGACATGTTTGGATGAGATGTTTCATGGGGTGACATGGTCGTCATTTAAAGAGAGCTTTCTGTGATCTCGAGAGGGGAGTAAACTGAGTCCTCCGAGATCATTTGCGGTGTTGCGGTGTTGTCGTGTCGTCCTCGCTAAAGATATAACTCGAAGTTTCCAAAGAGGGGATCCTTGCTATTATGAATAATAATCGAGAAGAGAGATTACGCTTGGTGAGAGATGCTGGAATGCGGATGTATTATCATGCGGGTGAGGTCAGATGAGAAGTGGCAACAGCAATGACAGCAGGGCACACCCAAGACAATCAATCAACGGAATGGGTAACGTAATGATGTCACAGGCGAGTCTCATCGACCCAACTAACCATCACAACATCGCAACAATTGCAACAATTGCAACAATTACGAAGTACAACACTGCCTTTCATCTATGACCTCTGAGACTGACCGGGTCAATTTTTCAAAATTTCAGAATCCAAGCTCAACAAGAGATTCGAGTGCTGGGTTTGGAGTGATGTCACCGTTGAACCAGGAATCAACCAAGGGCAACCACGCCAGCCAAAGTCAGTATCAAATTCTGGATTGTGAGGAAAGAATCAGGGTACATTAGGAACAAAAGGAATCGAGGGTGCTATTGAGTTATAAGCTCTATTTGTACAAAGTGCTTTGACTGGAGAAGATCCCCGGTGATGGCATCACGTCCCTCCCTTCGGCACAACCCTCCGACGGGCCCTCTCGATCCCGGAGAGAACATACAGTAAGGAGACGAAACGATTTTCCCGGTATATAAACAGCATCACTATATCTTCCTCCATCGCCAAGCCGTCACCCCACCAGTCAACCATCTACAAGATTTTTTTTTCACCATACCCACACTTAAGCAAGGAAGCTCTTAGTGAAGGTCTCAACGACGTTCCTGAGCTTGGCCTCAGTGTCCTTGCTGAGAGCGCCCTCCTTGTCGATGGTGGCAAGGAGCTCAGTCTCGCTGGACCTGAGGTGAGCGAGGAAGTCAGACTCCCACTGGAGAATCTTGCCGACGGGGACGGAGTCGAGGAAACCGTTGACACCGGCGAAGATGAGGGGAACCATCTCGTTGACAGCCATGGGAGAGTACTGCTTCTGCTTGAGGAGCTCGGTCAACTGTAGAAAGAACGTAACTGTTAGCACGAAATGCGTAGCACATACAAGTAATGGCGTCATATTGAGTAGCAACTTACGCGTTCACCACGGTTGAGGGTCTGCTTGGTGGCGGCATCGAGATCGGAACCGAACTGGGCGAAGGCGGCAACCTCACGGTACTGGGCCAAGAAGAGCTTAAGAGAACCGGCGACTTGCTTCATTGCCTTGAGCTGGGCAGCGGAACCGACACGAGAGACAGAGAGACCGACGTTAATGGCGGGACGAACACCCTTGTAGAAGAGCTCGGACTCCAAGAAGATCTGGCCGTCGGTAATGGAGATGACGTTGGTGGGAATGTAGGCAGACACGTCACCACCCTGGGTCTCAATGACGGGAAGGGCAGTCATGGAACCACCACCGTGGGTCTTGTTCATCTTGGCGGCACGTTCGAGGAGACGAGAGTGGAGGTAGAAGACGTCACCGGGGTAAGCCTCACGACCGGGAGGTCGTCGAAGAAGAAGAGACATTTGACGGTAGGCGACGGCCTGCTTGGAAAGATCGTCGTAGATGACGAGAGAGTGCTTGCCGTTGTCACGGAACCACTCACCAATGGAGGCACCGGTGAAGGGGGCGAGGTACTGAAGGGGAGCGGCCTCGGAGGCGGTGGCAGCGACGATAATGGAGTACTTCATGGCATCGTTCTCCTCGAGGGTCTTGACGAGCTGGGCGACGGTGGATCGCTTCTGGCCGACAGCGACGTAGATGCAGTAAAGCTTCTTGTCCTCATCGGCACCGTTGTTCCATCGCTTCTGGTTGAGCATGGCATCGAGAGCGACGGCGGTCTTGCCGGTCTGACGATCACCAATAATCAACTCACGCTGACCACGGCCAATGGGAACCATGGCGTCGATGGACTTGAGACCGGTCTGGACAGGCTGGTTGACGGACTGGCGGGGAAGAATGCCAGGAGCCTTGAGCTGGGCACGGCGCCTCTCGCTGGCGTTGATGGGACCCTTTCCATCAATGGGGTTGCCGAGGGCATCGACGACACGGCCCAACATCTCGGGACCGACGGGAACGTCGACCTAAGCTGTTGTTAGCAACATCTACCATGGATAAATAGATAGATATGACGGCTGAACTTACGATAGCACCAGTTCGCTTGACAGTCTCACCCTCCTTGACCAATCGATCGGAACCGAAAAGCACAACACCGACCTGGCCGGCCTCGAGGTTCATGCACATACCCTTGACACCGGAGGCGAACCTGGAGAAGGATAATTGTTAGCTATGCATTGCGTCGATTTTTGCAGGTCCCTAGGATGGATGTTGGGGTTAGACATACTCGACAAGCTCCTCAGCCTGGACATTGGCCATGCCGTGGACACGGGCAATACCATCACTATTTACCAACGTTAGCTATCAACAATTCATCGTCGGATAAAAATCTTCATCTCGTTTGGATGACTACCAGAGCCTCAGTAGTCATGCTGTAACGATTGATGCTTGACGGGGCCAAGGAACTAATGCCGACGTACCCAACAGAGAGGACGCGACCAGTCTCGGCAAGACCAGCTTCTTCCTGGACGCCGCGAATTCTCTGCTCGAGAATAGAAGAGACCTCAGTAGGCGAAGGCTTAGCATCGGCGGCGTAGGTCCGGGCTTGTATCGAGGCAGCATTGTAGACTGCTGGTGCGGCATTTCGAGCCTGGAAGCAGTGGGTAAAAAAAACCTAGTTAGCCGAAGTCCGAATTGGTGATGATCCAAAAAAACAACAACTCCTGACGAGCTCCAGAAACAGGGACAAAAAAAAGCTTTTCCACGATGACCACCCGACCCGGCACCACTCAATTGATCGTGATAATTGATTCACAGGACGATCCGAATCGGGTGCAGTGTTTTTTCGATGGAATTGACGCCGTTTCGGGGATATGGAGGTGGTGGAAGACTTACTACCGCAGCCCTACCCGAGGCGCCGAGAGCGCGGGTGGACTGTCGAAGGGCCGTCCGGAACATATTAGAGAGTATTTAGAAGGGGTCTAGAGAGGAAGGATAAACAATTGCAAGGCGATGCAATTGAGTAGAGAGGAGATTGTGGATGCTGTCACACACGTCGTTTGGAAGAGGGAGTTCAGGAAGCGGATTTTTGCAAGAAGACAGTCGAGGAGGAAGATGAGGGAGAAACGGGCGGACCCGGAGCTGGCAGCCTGGACCAATCAGGTGCCAATGAGCGGATTTTTCATGCGTTATGTAAGCTGACCCGTGGTGCTAACATTTTTTTGAGCCGGGGGAAGGAGCAATTCACCCAAGACTCGAAGGCTGGTTGCTTTCTTCGGTTGTCCACGCTCATCAAATTTACCACCGTACAGTGTGCGGTCTATTTCCGACTTAACTGCGAGCGCCTATGCCTGGAGCTGAGATGAGAAGATCGAGGCTATGACACCGTGAATATATGTGTGTATTTGGCCTCTATGTCAATAATGGCGATATATATTGAATCCGTACACTAAATGGCTATTGGATCTATAACTCCAGCTCTTTGTAGCATGCTTCATTGGGGTTTAAGAGAGGCCGAGCTAGATGTCTCCTCGGCTGTATCGGGGCAACAAGTGGATCCGAGGCTCATATGGCAGCCCCCTTCAAGGTACTTGACAAACAACCGCAGATCCGGACGATGAGCTGAGTGTCCACATAGCAATTTCTCGAGCAGGAGATTGAACAACAAAAAATGTCCATTCAGTTGGCATCTAAACCTGTTCGCCTACCTACGTATGTACATGATTGCCTGAAGCTTACAGTCCATGTTTCGACGTCTCCTCAGAGGTTATGAACAAAGGGGTATAATCATCAATTGAAATGTCACGATTAAAAAAAATTCAAGCACCACCAATACAAGCCGGCATGGTCGCCGGTCGGTCTCTAAGGCCGTAGCTCAGACTATATTAAAGTCGAGCTGTAAAAGGGGTATGTCTGAGAGCGTTTCCACGCCCATGAGCGAAGACACACAAATCTGCATACACACACAGATGCCATGATCCATTCCTTTTTTTAAAGCCTAACTCCGAGAGATTTCCCAAATGCAGAGCGTCACTCATTCACTTCCAACCTCCTTGTCGGCAGCCTAGGCATTTATCGGATGATACCCTCGAATCGCTGCTTGAACCACCTCATGGTCTCAATACGGGTGATGCGGTGGCTGGCACCGATCCTGCCCTTCATGCGGCGGCGGCGGACGACACGGTCACCGGGACGGGTCATGCAGCAGTAGAAGTCCATGCCGTAGATACCGATAGAGGGGTCATACTTGATACCAAGATCGATGTGCTCGCTGATACCGAAGCCGAAGTTGCCAGTCTCGCTGAAGTTGCGCTTGCGGAGCTCGTACTCCTTGACCTTGAGGCCACGCTCAAGAATCTCTTCGGCCTTTTAACATTTCCCCCCATGTCAGTTCCTGGCTCCAAGCACACTCCAGCCTTTACCGAAGGAATCGATCTTACCTTGGGGCCACGGATGGTAACGTGGACAGCGATCTTTTCGTTACGGCGGATACCAAAGTTTCGGACGGTGTATCGGGCCTTGCCTGGAAAGAGACGGAGAAACATTAGAAATCGCCTATCAAAAGAAGCGAGTAAAAACTGCAGCCATCACATACTGTAGACGGGGGTTTGACCAGAAAGCTGCTCGAGCACCTTGGCGGCACGGGTAAGCCTATCACCAGACTCGCCCACAGCAATGTTGAGGACGAGCTTCTGGATCTTAAGCTCCTTCATGGGGTTCTGGGACTTCTCGGACGCCATTTTGACTGATTTGGATTTGCCTTTTGGGAGGGAAAGGATCAAAAGACTGTCAATGGGCTAGTTGTGGTTGAGGATGTGCTGCTGGAGGGTTAGTAGATTTCGAGATGGATTGGAAGGATTAATTTCTGTCGATGAAATTTTGCCCTACAATTTTTGGTGGTCCTGCGGGGAGGGTAGCCCTACCCTCACTGGTCATAATCATAAGCCAGTGGTGGGCGACGACCAGCTTGTGGAGGTACGTACCCAAATTCCGAATCTTACGTAAAACACTGTGCGAGCGCGAACTCTTGGCGCCAACTCGCGACTTCAGCCTTCCATTTCTCAGCCTTGGGACACGAAAACTCTTAATAATTCAGGCATCCTGCATTGTATGTCATAGCTCCTCATCAGAGTCTCGAGCTACAAGTCTTTCGGGACTTTGGTGACATAAAAACATAACCCAATTTTTTGAGAAATTGAGAGGCTTCTTTTTACGAGGCAATCTAAAATACAAACTGCAACCATGGCATCCATGAACAAGCAAGGCAAAATGGTCAGTCGTCTCTCGCGTTTCCCCTCCAGTCTCATTTGTATCTCACCGCAGCTAACAAGAAACCTCACTTCATAGGCCGGTTACGTATGTCCGCTCCCCCGCATCGCGTCACACTTCCTAGCTTCAAGGGAAGCCGAGCCGAACTATTAAGCTGAGTTTCGACTGCTGACTGGAATGTTTAGATTAACTGGCGGATGAGGGTAACACTCATCGACGGTAGACAAATGACTGGCCAGATGCTTGCGTTTGATAAGGTAGGCGATAGCCAGACCCCATCGCCCTACCTGCCATTCCAGGATTGCTAACGAATGTTACCACTAGCACATGAATCTCGTCCTCGCCGATACCGAAGAGTTCCGAAAGATCAGGTCCAAGTCTAAGACCGGAGGTGCTCCTGGTGCATCGAGCCAAACCATCGAGACTGAAGCGAAGCGAACTCTCGGCCTGACCATTGTCCGCGGTGCTCACATCGTTTCCCTATCAGTCGAATCTCCGCCTCCCGCCGACCCAAGCGCGCGTCTTGGCAAGACTACTACGGGCGGTATTGCCACCGCCTTAGCCGCCGGTCCTGGTGTCGCGAGGGCTGCGGGCAGAGGAGCTCCTGTACCGCCGCCTAGCCTTGCTGTATGGATTCTACGAGCCCTTCTACGGCCCCCATATCGATATATTTTTCGTTGCTAACACTTTTCTCAATAGGGCCCCGCGGCAGGCGTTGGTGGCGCCGCGCCGCCTCCCGGTTTCCCTGGTGGCTTCCCCCCACCGCCTGGGTTCCCCGCTGGACGAGGAGGTATGTTCACCCCCGGTATCCCGTCGTCGGAGTCCGTCCTAATATCTATGCAGCCCCTCCTCCCGGCTTCCCCGGGGCTTTCCCTCCCGGAGGTTTCGCCCCGAACGCTCCCTTCCCGCCTCCCGGTTTCCCTCCTGGTGGTCCTCCGGCCCCTGGTTTCAATCCTCCCCGGCGATAATTTATAAGATGTCAACAAAATACAAGGCAGCTCGGTTTGTTGGTTTGGGTATATTCCCCTTTTCGGCGCTGGACTCATAAATGAGAAAACTTGTCGATCGATTCGGCAGAGGCGGTGAGAGCCTCTAATCGACACATGATGAAACAGGAACAGGAGTTTTTCTATTAAAAAAAGTAACGGAATGAAGATAATGGTACGCACTACCTATCTCGCACTTGCTGCTTTTGCTTCGTGCCTTGCGTTGACGTGAGAAACGGCTCAGAGGACAGCAGCCGAGAACTTGGTGAAGAACTAAGTATGTGGTGATGTGTAAAGGTATACGAGTTGTAAGATGATGACGTACTTGGCCAGTACCCAGTGATATAATACCCTTTGCCAGAGTCTATTCATCAGGCCGCGAGAGAGCGGCAATATTGGATTTGCCGTCTCTAGAACCGGCGACGACTTAGGCTTTTCTTGGTTACACGATTCCCCGTCTCAGTATCAAGGGGGAAGGCCTCCAAGGACAACAAAGTAACGGAATGGCTTGTTATTAACGGAGCTCAGGAATATGACCCGAGTTGTACAAAAGATACAATTACAATAAACGTGATCGACCCAGCTATTGACCGCCCCTCATACTCCTCGAACTCCTCCATAATATCCGTCTCTTTCCCGTTGAAGAAGTGTATCGATTCTGGCAACCTCCAACCTCCAACCCCTTCTGCCGACCCAAGATAAGAGAGAGAAGAAAGAATCCAATTTTTGTGCCGTTCTGACCAGACGAAAGAAAAGAACAAAAGAAACAGACAAAAGAAAGAAGTATCTTAGCACACGTCTAGCGAAACACAGCGCCCTCATCGGTAATCCCCCCGATCCCTCCTCTGAAACTGGAACTGTGCAGGAATATCCTCCCGCCTAGGATACTCGCCATAGTTGTTATTATTAGTATTATCATTCCCGATCCCACTGTACCCAGTACCACCCACAAAAGTAGGCGAATACGTGCTACCGACCTGCTTCTCCTGCGCCTCCCTGCTCTTCCTCATGGAGCCGATGAGTGTGGAGGCTCCATAAGCAGCGCCGACGACGGCAGCGAGGACGGCATAGGCAATGACGAAGGGGCTCGGGGAGTCAGCCATGCGGAGACCAAGGCCGCCGTTGACGACGCCGAGGAGCATGAGGACGCGGCCGTACCAGATGTGGGCGTAGCTGACGACGGCGCGGGACTGGTGTTTTAGGTAGTGGCGGTGGTGGAGGAGGCCGAGGACGGGTTGGAGGACCATGGCGAAGGTGACGATGGCGCCGAGGATGGTGTGGGCTTGTTTGAAGAGCTGGAAGGTGATGTTAGACATGTTTTATTGTTTGAAGAAAGGGGGGCCGTCTGTGTAGGAACGAAGGAGGCAGAGGGAACAAACTTACCTCGTCAGTTGCATCGGCTCTGGCGTAGCCGGTACCGAATCCGCCCCACATGACGAGGAAGGCGACGGTCTGGCATCCAGCGTGGAGATACCACCTTCCGAACAGGGGGATCAAGAGAGCACCGACAGGATACAGGATGACGAAGGCAACAGCCATGAGGACACCATGGATACGGATCAAGTCTGCAGTCCGACTCTCACTAGACCCACTGGAAGCACCATTGGTGCTCCCGCTCCCGATGGTATTGACGCCTCCGCTACCATTCGTATTTCCACTGTTGCTATCAGTCCCCGAGTTTCCGGACCCAGTCGAAGCGCCCGTCGAGAAAGGATTGACATCCTGCGCAACAGCCGCCTGCGACAAATCAATCCTAAACTGATCGAAATCCGAATGCTGCGCAATAGTAGCACTGGTGTCGGCTGTATTCAACGGATTCCCCGACCTCCAAGCAGCGATCCAAGGCGACGAGCTAGCGGACAGATCCATTGACCCTCCTCTCCACGACTGGCAGTTACTACAAACGACATTGGCGGTCATGACGCCGTTTGAGACGCCGGAGCCCGCGAGGAGCTGGATCTGGGTGTCGCTCTGGAAACGGGGCATGGTGCGGCCGGTGCCGGAGCGGGTGCTGACGGTGACGTTGCCGGAGCCGTCTTGGTAGACGACGAAGATGTTGGAGCCGGACATGCTGGAGCCGGTGCCGATGGAGACCCAGGTGAAGGTGTCGAGGGCTTGGATTTGGAAGTAGAGGTTGCCGGAGTTGGATTGGGCGGAGACTTGGGGGACGGCTACTCCCATGCAGAATTTGTTGTCGATGGGACAATAGCGGAATTGGGCAGAGGCCGTGCTCGCGACTGGAGTTTTGGGGGGTAGGGAATTAGTATTTGGAACCTTTTGATCTTGATCTTTTTTTCCCTCCTGTCTATGTTGGGGAGCGAGGATTGTTGGGATCTGGGTTGAGAGCGTCGGTGACTTACAGAGCAAACTAGCCGATGCCAGTAGAGATTTTAATGTTTTCATGATGAGTTGGCGAAAATACAGTAATAAGTGATTCGTATCTATCCAGAAAACACTTGAAGGGTAAGAATCGCTGTGTTCAGTCGTCAAGATTGGACGTTGCAGTCGACGTCGGGATCGAGGGTCGCGTGTAAGTGTCTTCTAGGTGTGACCGTTTAAGAGCCAAGACCACAATTGCAAGAAGGGAACAGAACAAAAAAAAAAAAAAGAAAAAAGAGGTGTATCTCTCAGGCCCTTGTCGATTAGGCGATCAATGGGAAGTCTTCGTTATATCAATGAGAAAGGAAACAATAACGGAGAAGTTATATATGTCCTGATTGACGAAGGAAGGGAAGTGAATCATCGAGTTCACCTGGAAGAAAACAGGAGGGGTGTGAACGGACCCTTGGATGTTTTAATAGCAATGTAAAGAAACTTGAGTCCGGGGGAACACCGCCGAAGACGAAGCGCAAGGGAGTGAGAGTGTGAGAGAAGTAGATTTGTCCGGGGTGAGAATCTTGACGAGGAGGGAGGGGTGTAAGTTGTGACATGGGACGGAGAAGGGTAAAAGCCACCCTGAGGACGAGCCAGCAGCGGCACAAGTGAGATGAGCTGAGGTGCATGCTCTACGCAGATGCTTCGGGATCACCATTACGGAGGAAAGACACACACCCCGGTGAATGAGGCCTTCACTTCGTCTCGAGATCTATGGACATTACCTCCATTGCCCTTATCGCCGTGGAGACTGTCCAACCAGACGGATACTTTCTTTTTCTCGGCGCCGACTACATCCTGATCCGTACATGTTCATGCAAAAACCTGCAATGGTGACGCGTAGATATTCACTAAATTTGTATTCAATAGGCTTTAGAGTTGGAAAACCAGCCCATTTCCAAAGTTCGGGGTTCCGAGACTTCTTCACCAAGGTGGAGATTCCGATCGCCGTTGCGGGGCGCAAATTGAGAATCAACCAAGGAGACAGAAAAAGGAAAAGAAAAAGAAAAACCCTCGTGTCTACCGGGCGGCAGAGACTCGTAATCAGTTTCTTCTCGTTGGTCGGCAACGAAGAGGGTCCCTCGAACTACTAAGATGGGTGAGCCAATTCTCAGACACTGAAGCCGTTGTACTCCATCCACACCCCCCCTTCCCCCCTGGTTCTGCTGGTCACTTTTCCAGCTCGCGGCTCTGAGGGATAATAAACTGCCAATCCGGAGGTCGACGATTGTGGGGCGGTGAAGTGGTGTCCTCATTCGGGGCAATAGGTTAAATATTTAATTCGTTTTTGATTGAAGGAAGAGAACATGGAGGGACCTTCAAGGGCTGCTTTGGCGAACGGACAATCGGGGTCTTGCACGCAGTTTCAAAACAAGACCTCGCACAAGCCAAGATGGCATCCGGGCTCTCTCTTGGTTGGAGCTTTCGGCGAGGTATTGATGCTACATCGGCGTTGCTGTCTACGAGGAATGGAAACTAGGGTCCCTTCGATCCGGTCTGAGGACCACAGTCGTAATCGAGGTGAATGCCCCGGTCTAGACCTGGCGGAACGGCAAGTCGATTGATGTCTACGAAGTAAAGCGCACTAGAAAACGCCGACGACGCTAAGGGGTAGGGCTGGACGACGCCCTGCTCGCAGAGGAGAGAGTACGTGGACAGAACATCGCAATTGGTCTAGCCTAAGATCCAGCGCCAACTAGGGGGGGTATCAGTATCAGCATCAGTACGACCATGTTATCCAGCGTTTCAAGTGTTTTGAATGTCCCAGTCTTGGTGTTTCTTCGCCCAATGGAGGGTCGCGCCTTGTTATGATTGGTTGCGCATCGGGTCGCTGGGTTTCCTGGAACAGCAATTCAGCTTTTTGTTCCATGAATAGAGCCAGGCCAGCCAGACGGATCGGGTATGAGCAGTGAGCACTTATCGTTTCCCGTTGTCTACGTACAATATGCACTTGCTAATGCTTCCATAAGGAACTTGGGGGCCGTTGAATTGAGGCTGGGGCAGAGAGACATTGCTGGCATCGCCTCGTGTGCGTATTTGCCTGACCCCCATCCACTATGTATAGCTGCGGCCCAAAGAATGCATATTTGAGGCCCATCTCGTCCCGTCAAATGGAAGAGACTGAATCCCCAAAATGGATCGAAATCGTTGTGTGTTCAAAGACTGTTCGCTGCTCTGATAATTGGGTATTATCGGCCAACTTCGAAGCCACAACCGCCCGACGGCAATTACCCGCAGCAGAGACGAAACAAGAGAAGATCGAATAAGGAAAACAGGATACCCTCCAAGATCACCGGCCGAAGGAACTTGAGACGCCATCTATTTTACCCCAGACGCAGGAGGCAAAAGAAGAATGCCAAGGCGATCCCCAAGCGCCATCTCCTTCTAGCCTCTGCTTGTTTCTGCTTCTTTTCCTGTACTGTAAATCGTCTGTGCCCTCCAAGCAAAGATCACATCACCTGTTCTCTAGTGTCTGGTTGAGGACTGCAATAATTGATTAAAGTGGCCGGATCCCTGGAATTCCCTGACCCGTTCGTCATGCCTCATAATTTTGCTTCTTCTGTCTTTCGATGCAACAGTCTTGCATTTGATGCTGCGTGGCCGCGTGTCTAGGTGTGTACTTCGGGCTTGTACAGACAACAGGGAGTCCAGGTTGTATCTCCCCGGACCAGTTGAAGTCATGTATTTCGCCATGAGAAGTTCTAGATACTCTCATTCACTCGTGCAGTGATAGGTCAATGACGACCACGCTAGCTGGCTGGTCCTGTTCCCCAGCATCACCGCGAGAAAAAAAGCCACCAGGACGCGCAATCAGCTCCTCGCCCGGTGATAGGGTGATGCCCCCACAGGAATCATCACGGACACCGGGGATTGAGCAGACAAGCATTAAGCTATCAGAGTATAGACGGGGCGCAGCACACGGCACTAGTGTAGATATTCTAGCCGACCGGCCGGGCCCATGGTTCCCAACTTTCTTCCACCAGGTTGAACCCTAACTGTCCAAGATGGACAGGATGGGACTAGTCAACTTCGTAAATTAGCGATGCCCTTGCATGTCGGCGGGATCGGAGAGTTTGGTAGAGAGCATCGAACGGATGTTTCCCCGAGTGCATGAGACTGCCATCGTGAAGGGAGCCACATGCTTGATAGCTTGCGTAAGCTTATTATAGCTAGCTAGACCGGACATGAAGTGGGCTCACTCAAACTTCGTATGAGCGTAGTGTCATAGCGATATGTTATCGACTTTATCACTACTACAGCTGTATCCGCTAACTTGAACCGCAACGTTAATAAAACACTAAGCACGGCGAGTACAAGCACGTTTATCATAGACATTCCGAACCCCGTTGACGTTGCTTACATTCAGCAGTTTGCTCATTCGTTGAAAAAGCCGCGGGATCTAGTCATCATAGTCTACTGTCTCGTGGATAAGGATCGGCCAGCTAACCAGGGTCAAGCCGGCGGAGGCGAAAGAAGAATATCAATATGGATCGGGGTATCTATGCGTCCGTCGTGTTTTTTCGTGGAGGCGACTCAACGGCCTGTAGCCACGGATCCTCCAGAACTGATCCAGGAATCTACTCAGCATTGCGCGGCGTGCGTAGCCGATAAGCTGAAGTCGCACGTATTTAGTCATGATATTCCAAAAACGTCATCTATTATCCGATCCAATGCATGGTTTATACCCGTGAGATATTAGCTGTAGCGAAAATTCCGACACATTGCGTCGAGGCCGAGCAAAGACATGGGATCTTGCTTGACTGAGACGCAATCACCATCCCCGGTTGGATGAGCTGGGTTACAGCGGTTTGTCGGGCGATAGTACCGGAGACCGAGGCCCAACACTCCACTTTGGATACGGCATGCTGCTAAGGCCGTCGAGTCGGGATGCACCAGTGGTGGTCGTCCGTATTCACCTAGTCCACGAACTAAGCCAAAGTGATGAAGGTCATCATAGAGACCGGGGACGGCGCTGACGTCCATAGAGATGCAGCCTAGGTAATACCTAGTGCAGCCTTCAAGGGAAGGATAACCGTCTTCACCCTTCCCCTCGGGTGCACAGCTCTTGTCCATAATGGCACAAACGACTGGTGGGTTCTGCCCTTTCTTGAAATTCAGAGCGAACCGGTCCATTCCTGGCTCAACTGGGATGCTATCCCACTCCTCGTATGCGTCGAGTGTATCGAGGCATTCCCGATCCACACGGAGGCAGTAATTGAATCGAGGCAACTCCCGAACTCGCGCCTCATCGACGCTAGGACCGTCCCTCTCCACGCTAGCTCTGGCAACCCAGTCGGAGAAGAGTACTCGGGCTTGAGCCTTCGACGCGCCTTCAAGCTTCTCCTGGTCCTCGACGATTGTCCACTCCTGGTAGTGGGGGAGCAGTAAATCTCTTCCCGATATATTCAACTTGTCCGTGATTTGGCTTTTCATAGAGTTGAGATAACGCCGCTATTTATCATCATCACCATACGTGCAGCGGTAGACGACGAAGCCCCAATGGTGAAAGTGCGTCTCTTGTATGTTGAGGATCAGATGGCCGAGGGTTTCTTGAGCCGCGTCCCCTCTTCCGATCCTGACCTGGTCGAGCGTGACCCTGTACTCTTTGGTTGCCCGCCATGGTGCCGTGACTAAGTAGAAGTTCGCTTAGAACGCACCTTCCCCGAGAATGTTGGCGGTTGTTGGCTTATGTGCTATATATGAGAATTTGGCTCTGGATTCTCACCGTCTCATGGAAGCTCAAGTGGTCGAGCGGTTACGCACTGAAACTACTTCCGCAAGGCGCCGGCGTGGAACCCGGTCTGGTTAAACCATGAGACGTGGAGGAAATGGAATATGGGTATGGGAATTGGGAATTGGGGAGGGAGAAGTGGGAATTCTTTTTTTGCTAAATCGTCTGTATATCTCTAGGGCACCCATTTTTTTTTTATTCTCCCCTTCCTGCGAGAGGGATTCTCGAGTCTTCCTTTGGGGTCTCTGCGGCTGTGATGTGTCTCTGTGGAGGAAGGGAGGAGGGGAGGTTCAGAGAGGTTGTCGGTTCGAAACTAGTGGAGGACTTTTACACCTTTTTTTTTTTCTCGGGTGACATGGTGTCAAGGTCAGGGACCGTCAATTCTAGTGAGTTTCAATGTCATCGTTCTCTCTTTCTCCCGCAACAATGGAAAAGGTACTGATCACTTGAACTGGCCGAGAATTGAAGAGAAGGACACCATCGATCCAAACACCGACCGCTGTTGAGAAAACATTAGGAAAGCTCAGGCAAGTAGTCTTCTTCATCAATGATTGGAAGACGCTTGCAGTTTTCCTCAAGCCCATTCCCATCTTTCTTCGAATTCTTGTCTAGTTTTTCAATTTGAGCTGAATTTTTGTTTTCTTCGAATCCAAGACTGGAGGAATATCTCCAAAGTGAAAAAATGACAGCAATTGACCACCTATATAGCTCTAGCTCGGATCAATCTACCTTCCTCGCTCTATCCTCTCCTCTGCACCAACATCTTGCTTGGACGGTCTTGAACCGCAGATACCTGGAAGCTCACACTAATGAAGGCCGGGAGAGTTGGTACGAGGAGCAGATGAAGAATCGATGACGAACCGAGGCAAACCTTCGAGAATGATGGTAGAATCCCGCATGGGTTTCAAATCAGACACCCTATTCGGCATCTCCATGCCCCGGGCAAAGGCGAAGAAAGAAAAGCAGCGGCTGTGGTCGATCTTGCGGGGAGCGGGACACACGCATAATATATGATCTTCGCTGGGACCTATGCGAGACCCCAGCCTGTTGTTGCTTTGCTACTTTCGCGTCTTGGGATTTCGGGTACCGTACCGGCCTTGGGTAGATCGGTGCACCGCCACCACATCACCGTATCGCTGGCCTCGTGGAGTTGCGAGGCCATAACGCGTTTTTCACTTTGCTATGCGTTCCTCTTGACGGAAAACCGGGGCGTGCACACCATCCCGGAATACGCTCCTTCGACTGAGCAAGTCAGACAGATATCGCGGAGACGGGAACTGTTGGTCGGCATATAATTATAGGCTGACGGCTGGGGCGGGCTGGCATGAAGGACCGCGAGCCCTCGAGATCCCTCCCCTCGGAGCCCGTTTTCCCCCGACCTTGTTCTGTCCAATTCAAGTATCATATGGGCTTGGGTGATAGCCTTTCTTTGCTTAATATTCACCGACCAGTGGAACCGGGCTCTTTCGAACAGGTACTAAGCGCTCCTTAACGGACGAAGCCTTGACGGCCTCTTACCTACCCAGTTCCGCCACGCTCACCCTGCCTCCCGCGTCCGGGCAAATCGACCGTCTTTACCTCCGAACCGGTAAAGAGGTTTCGGTACTACCGCTTCTCATGACGAATACCCTGCACTCATCCGCAAGAATGTATAGAACACGTTAAAGCCTAGAGGCAAACTTACAGCAAGCCAACCTCGTGATTGCCCCAGCCATATCGGCGATTATTAAGGCTGGTTCTACCTTTTCGCACTTCCTAGGTGGCTGAAATCCTACCGTTTCCACCGCTTGATAACACAAATGTGTTCCGTTGCGCTTAATCCAGGCGCCTTTCCAGGCGAGGCAAGTAGGATGTGCTTCGTCCAGCAGTCCAAACAGACTGCGCGCGATAGAAACATGCTGTCCATTTCTCAACCGATATAGATGCTTGAACAGGGCCTTGGTGGAATATATCCATATTGATATGACTGTCTGGGAAGTTGCGCTCACACCTTCCTCTTTCATCTATCTCAGTTGTTGGGTCTGTCGATTGATGGTTCTTGTTCTCATTGGTCCGACAAAGGGTCCTCGATCCCGTCATTCACAAGTAGGATTCTTGTGCAGGCGGGTTAATAAACGAGACCAGGCATCAACATTTCGTACGGCACAGCAATGCTACTATCGGATGGGCTTCCGGATGGTTAATGGGTGATGTTTCCATCGACAAACTTGACATCTGCTTCCTACACTAGACAATTCTTCGTCTTTTATTAAATGTGAAAGATACGAGATAGCCGAGCCCAGGAATCCAATCCGTCAACCGGGAGGCAGAGAACAAGCTGATTATTCGGATGACTTCAAAATGGATCCCAAGACTTGTTTGAATGACGACTCTCTGGGGCCGAATGTTCGAGGATGTCGCGATGATTTCGACTTCACTTTGATGTTTGAGAGGTTGTGTTTTGCGGTTATCCCGGGATCCGTTTTCATTGCGCTATGCCTGGCAAGGTTGGCATACCTGTACCAAAAGCCTCGTGTCGTCCTTGGCACATTTTTTCAGTTCACAAAGCTTGTAGGTTTTCCTCTAAGTCTAAGGGCAGGGACTTGATCTGTCTAATAGCACCGTGCTTAGGCTGTTATCACGGTCTACGCGACCTTGCAATTCTCGCTTCTGATTCTCCTTACGGTGGGACATGGCAGGGTTGATAATGGCCTATCCATCGCCGCCACAGCGGTTTCTCTCGCCGCGGCTCTGTTCATGCTCGCATTGTCCTATGCCGAGCACTCGAGGAGTCCACGGCCCTCGATTCTTCTCAACGCCTATGTCCTGCTCACTCTCCTCTTCGACATCGCTCAGACCCGCACGTCCTGGCTCGTCGCAGCCAACCTGCAAGATGCTATCTTCGCACGGCTCTTCACATCGTCGGTTGTAGCGAAAGCATTCTTGCTTCTCCTCGAAGCGCAGAGGAAGTCGCGGTGGGTGCGATGGGACGCTTCCGAGCATAGTCCGGAAGAGTCAAATGGCCTATTCGGCCTGAGTGTGTATTCGTGGCTTAACAGGCTGTTTCTGCGTGGCTACAGAACCGTTCTCTCTCTTGAGGACTTGTACCCTCTGGATCCTAGCATGGGCACCGATACCTTATTCCCAAAGTTCCAGCGTCAAATCTATTCGCCCAGTTATCGTCCAGCCAGGTTTGCACTGGCAAAAGCCCTTGCAAGGGCCCTCGCCGTCCCGTGGCTGTTGCCTATCGCTCCTCGAGTGGCACTAATCGCGTTCAAGTTCATGCAGCCCCTTTTCTTGGAGAGGCTGCTTGGATATCTTCAAGAATCCCAAGCGACGGACGAACCAAACCACAACATCGGCTACGGGCTGATCGGAGCGGCCTTGCTCATATACGTAGGCATGGCCGTGTTCGGCGCATTTTACCAGTACTACAAATTTAGAGTTCTCTACATGGTCAGAGTCTGCCTAGCCTCCGCAATTTACAAAAAGACGACGGAAGCGAAGTTGACGGCAGGTAGCGACGGAGCCGCACTTACTCTCATGAGTACTGACGTCGAGAGGGTCGTGCGCGGCTTCTACGCAATCCACGAACTCTGGAGCAGTATGATCGAGGTTGGGATCGGCTGCTGGCTACTTCAAAGGCATCTAGGCGCGGCCTTTGTGGCCCCTATAGTGACCATCCTGATATGCACCCTTGGAATAACGTGGATTTCTGGCTATTCTGCAAAGCGCCAGAGGGAGTGGATGGGGGTGATTCAGAAACGCGTCGGCTTAACTACCACCGCCATCAGCACCATGAAAGGCCTCAAGATTACCGGCATGGTAGGCCACGTCGCCGACACGATCCAGTCCCTTAGGGCTGCCGACATCAAGGCGGGCAACAGGTGGCGCATCGTTCTCCTCCTTACAGCCATGATCGCCATAGCGCCCCAAGCTTTGTCGCCGGTTTTCACGTTTGCTGTGACGTCCAGCACCTTGGATACCACTACTATCTACACTTCGATGTCATACCTGTTGCTTCTCGCCGCGCCGCTCTCGATGCTGTTGCAGACTTTTCCGGGGCTTGTAGCTTCGTTTACGTGCTTGACAAGAATCCAAAGTTTCCTCGAGGCAGACACTCGGGTGGATTACAGAAAATTCGCCTACCCTGGATCTGGCGTATTAAAGCCTAGCGGTGATGAATCCTCTACTGATTCAGCATATGAACGGATTGAGCGAGCCGATGGCATTGCGGTGGGCATCCTGAAAACTAGCAAGTTGGCCACAACGGCTTCAGAGAAGCAAGAGCCGATCACCGAGGTACACAATGCGGCTGAATGTTTGGAGACGCCAACATTGGCTGTTAGGATATCGAATGGTAGTTTCGGCTGGACGGCCGGTAAGATGTCGTTGTCAGATATCAACGCCACGATTCCCGCCAGCAAGTTGACTATGGTTGTTGGGCCAGTAGCTTCTGGCAAGTCTACCTTTTGCTACGCTCTTCTTGGGGAGATGCCCTACTCAAGCGGTGAAGTTACATGGACATTGGACGAATTCGGATCCGCGCCTAAGTCGGGCCGTAAACAAGGACGAGGATGTGGAGGAGGTGTAGGCTTCTGTGAACAGAACCCCTTCCTTCTAAACGCAACCCTTAAGGAGAACATCATCGGCTTCTCCTCCTTGGACCAGTCCAAGTACGACGCAATCATCGACGCTACGAGGCTTGGCATCGATGTGTCACAGATGCCGTCCGGCCACGATACTCGGATCGGCAGTAATGGAATCATGCTTAGCGGGGGACAGAGGCAGCGCGTCTCTCTTGCCAGAGCTCTGTATCTCGAGTCCAATTTTGTTGTTTTCGACGACATCCTTAGCGGCTTGGATAACGATACTGAGACAGAGGTCTTCAACCGTGTCTTCGGGCCCGATGGTATACTCCGACGTCGTGGCGCTACCGTCGTGTTATGCACACATTCGATACGACACCTTCCAACTGCGGACCACATACTCGCTCTCTCTCCCGACGGCCGACTTATTGAAGAAGGAAGCTTCCAAGACCTCATGCAGAATCAGATGTATATCCAGAGTCTTGGTGTCGAAGCTTCCGATTCGGACTCATCTAAGTCGGGTTCCAACATAGAGGACGAAGATGGCGGGAACCCGAAGCCATCCGACTCGTCTCAGCCGATGGGCAAGAAGTCTGAGAAACCTAAGGTCCTAGCACATCACCTGGACAAGGCTAGACAGATGGGCGACTGGAGGGTATACTCCCACTACTTCGGCGCAGTTAGCAAAAGTATGCTTCTGGTTATCCTTATTACCGGCATCCTTTATGGCTTTGGGGACAACTTCTCCACTATCTGGATGGGATATTGGGCCGCGGATACCCTATCGCGAGACAACTCCTTTTACATTGGAATATTTGGTCTCCTTCGGACATCCCAGGTCATATGGATCGGGCTCTCCGGCGTCGCCATCCTCATCTCGCTAGTCACTCTTACTGGCACTGCCCTGCACAAGAACGCGCTTCGAACAGTTATCACGGCCCCGCTAAGCTTCTTCACCAACACCGATACTGGTATCGTTACGAACTTGTTCTCGCAAGACATGACGTTAATCGATGGCGAGTTGCCCTACTCGCTTCTCAACATGTCGTTTATACCATTCAGTCTTGTCGGCGTGGCATGTGTTATTGCCGTGGCGACACCGTATCTTGCTTCTAGCTACCCGGTGCTCGTGTTCATTCTTTACATGCTTCAGAAGTTCTATCTGCGGACATCTCGCCAGATGCGACTCCTTGACCTAGAGGCGAAAAGCCCACTATAGTAAGAAGCTTCTCAACGCTGTGTTGCGGCTCCTTTTGTTTTTCTTCTTTGCCGATTTTCTAACGGGCATACAATGTAGCTCACACTTTATCGACACAATCAAAGGTGTCGCTACAATCCGCGCCTTCGGGTGGTCCCAGCCAAACCTTGTCCGCAACAATGGCCTCCTCAACACGTCCCAGCGTCCAGCATATCTCCTCGCCATGATCCAGCAATGGCTCGCCGTCGTGTTGCAGCTCACCGTGGCCGCCATCGCCGTCATCCTCGTCTCCCTGGCCACGCAGCTCTCCGCGTCGGCGGGATTCGTCGGAGCATCGCTCGTCATGCTAATTAACTTTGGCGAAACGCTAACCTATTTGATTATCACCTACACCATGCTTGAGACATCCATAGGCGCTGTGGCTCGACTTAAAACGTTCAGTGAGGTGGTGAAGCCTGAGGACTTGCCGGGTGAGGATGTAAAGCCGCCGGAGGAGTGGCCTCCGAGAGGCGCCATTGAGATTCGGGACGTTTCTGCCTCGTATGAGTAAGTTTTTGCTATATTGTGTTAAGTATGATCAAAGTTCTGACAGGTATGGGTCTGTCTGGTTTCAGCGTTGGACGGCCGGATTTGCCTCGAACTGAAGATGATGAGAAAAGCTCAAAGGTGCCAGACACTATGGCTATTCGGAACCTCTCAGTATCCATTCGGCCTGGCGAAAAGGTCGCCGTTTGCGGTCGAACTGGAAGGTTGGTATTGACTCATTCTTTACCTATTTGGCATGACATGCTCGAAAAGCTTTCTGCTGACCACTGCTCTTTTCACAATTTCGTTATGCGTGTAGTGGGAAATCTTCGCTCTTCCTAGTCCTCGTCAGACTCCTCGACCCACTCCCCGGATGTGCAGAGAACATAACAATCGACGGCCTCGGCCTCCACCGTATTGACCGCGCCACCCTCCGCCAGCGCATCATCGCTGTGCCACAGGATCCCGTGTTCCTTCCCGGAGGAAACTCAATTCGCGCGAACCTGGACCCTCTGGGCATGGCGTCAGACGATGAATGCCTCGATGTTTTGCGCATCGTCCAGCTGGAGGGCTTCGTCCGCGAGGCCGGTGCTGCTGCTGCTACTCCCACAACGGAGGCCAGCTCCGCGCGAGAGCTCAGGGACACGGCAACAGCGGAAGACTTAAACGCCGAGATGAAGGCCGAGTCGTTCAGTTCCGGCCAGAGGCAGCTTTTCAGCCTAGGCAGGGCGATCCTCCGGCGTCGCGTACGCGACAGGAGAAGTGGGAAGAACGGAGGCGGCGGTGGCATTCTGCTTCTGGACGAGGTGAGCTCCAGCGTTGACCGCGACACGGACAGGGCGATGCAGGACCTCATTAAGAGGGAATTTGCAAGCTACACCGTCGTCATGGTGTCACACCGGCTGGAGATGGTGGTAGAGTATTTTGATTCCGTCGTGGTCCTGGATCAGGGGACCGTGGTTGAGACGGGCCGACCGGCAGAGCTTGTGGAGGTGGAGGGGAGCAGGTTTAGGGATCTTTGGTTGTTGGCAAAGCACTGATGGGGAATTTCTCTCCTGATATATATGTATTTGTCTCTTTTACTACCTCTTTCCCTTTTTTTTTTTTTTTTAGCTTTCAGTCCTATTTAATCTCGCTAGGTGGTGCGGCTTTTTGGTCTCTCTGGGGCTCTTCCCCACCAAGTGCCCCTGCCCCAACCTGAAACATTACCTGAGTTTTCTGTCGTATTCTTCCTTCTCCTGTAGCTTTCTCTCGACAACGTCTTTGACCTGCCGAGTCCAAAATACGGCAAAGTATGGATCCACTCGCTCTGGGAAGGAGTAGATAAACTGAGGCCGGAGCTGTCTCTCGAAAATTAGATACATGGCATTAATGGAATCCAGGGCGTGGAAGAACCAGGTAGCCCTAGACAAATAGGCATTATCTATAGTGTTAGACAGGCCACCAGTCGCCTTCTCTTCTTCTTCTTCCTTAAACGCTGTCATGAAAGACTCTCTAGCCGCAGTGTACTCGGCCAAATAGTCACGGGAGCAAATTTCATCGATGCTTCTTGAGGCAATCCAATATGGTATGTCAATCATCTGTGGCGAGCGAGCACATATCCATTCAAGATCAATAAGACTTGTGATATTCCATGCGTCGTCAACGATCAGATTCCCTTGGCGGAGATCTGTGAATTGCATACGGAACGGGCCATGCCTGAGGCTCTGGTCGAGGTAGTGGTGTGTCATTATTCGTAATATCGCCTGGATTGCTATTTGATAGTAGCAGTTTGCCTTATCCTTCATAGCATTCGATTGGGCAAGGAAACGATTGTCGTGGAGGGTTAGTATGATGATGCGTCGCGCTCCATCGTTCTCGAGAATCGCAACACCACATGTAAGTGGGCGGTTAGTTCTAGTCTCTTATAAGTTATAGTTGGTACTTGTGATCAACCTGATCGTTCGTTAGTTGTTCACTGATGCCAAGCGCGTTGGGATCGGAAGGGCATTCGTCGCGATGCTACTCCTTGAGTCACAATAGTGACCTAAATGGATGTTTGTCAGATTTCAAGACGTGCCTAGAGTACCTCGGATTGGTACAATTCCCCCCTTCTGTCGTGGGCAACTCCCGGATGGGCGCGGCCTGAAAGCTCAATAAGAGCATCACCGTTTGCAATGTTGCCAAAGTTGTGTCAAGCAAACCGCCGGTTGCAGCATTCCCGGGCTAGGTCCGGACTGTGTAGAGACAGGGTTTTAGAGGGCGAGGCTCTCCGACGAAGTACGGGATGGAAATCTATATCGACGTGGAATCGAAGAAATTCTCGAAGAGAGATGTAGGTCCTCACACCAAAGATGGGACAACGTAGGCCCGCGCTCATCGCACATGATGATATTTGAGGAAACAGAAAAATCCGCATGCTGGGCAGAACAGCCCCAACTCCGGGAAGACCATTGCAAGAGGAGCGTTTCCGTAAGTCGTAGTAGCAGTTTCGGCTTCTCTGGTCATACCTACGTAGCACCGCTTACTCCACGGACCGGGAGACAATGAGAAAAGATCTAGCAGAAACTCGAGTATAACTGAGTACGAATGAAAGTAGGAAAAAGACAGAAGAAAGAGGATCAAAAACGGACCAATGCTCGACGAAAAAAGCTGCCAGACAAAGTCACGAACCTCGTCTTTACTATGCCGCTCAATAAAACATGTAACATGAAAACACATAACGCTCCTCAGAAAGTAACGCCTAGCCCAAACTCATGACGCTCCAGCAAACTGCTCGGAGCCACAAAACTGAACCCGCCAAACGGATCCTCCTTCTCACCATTGCCCGCCAGGTCGTCCCAGTGGTCCATGGACGTGACGACGGGGCTGAGGGCGAGCTCCGTGAAGCTAGGGTCGAAATTCTCCGCCAGCTCGGGATCCGTGATGAAGGGCTGGATGGGAGGGGTTATTTCCCGGGCGAGGAGCTTCTTCCAGTTGATCTTGCGGAAGAACCTGTGGTTCTTCATGGACAGGAGGTCCTTCGGCATCTTGGCTCCTAGGCGCTTTGCTGGGTCCTTCTTCAGCAGGCGGGTCAGAAGATCCTTGGCATCCGGGCTCAGGAAGTAGGGCAGGACAAGCTTCTGCTTGAGAATGTTCTCCTGGATCTTGGCGTTGTTGCCTCCTCGGAAGGGTGGGTTGCCCGTCAACAGGTCGTAGCCCAGTGCGCCAAACGACCACCAGTCAACAGCCTTTCCGTACTTTTGACCCTTGACGACCTCGGGGGCCATGTACTCTACGGTGCCGAGCATGGAATTGCAGGTGTCGCTATCTTCTGCAGAGACCTTGGACAGTCCGAAATCCGTTAGCAACAGGTGTCCCTCAGCATCCAGAAGGCAGTTTTCCGGCTTCAAGTCACGGTAAATGACTCCCAAGTCATTGTGGAGATGCGAAATGGCCAGGAGCATCTCTGCCATGTAGAAAGCCGCCACGGGCTCGGTAAACATCTTCTCGGTCGTCAGGTGAGTGAACAGCTCTCCGCCCATACCGTATTCGAGGATGAGGTAGAGTTTCTCTTGATCCTGGAAGGCGTAGAAAAGCTTGACCACAAAGGGATGTCGGTTGACGGATTCGAGCACCTGGCGTTCGGTCTTGGTCTGTTCGACAAGCTTCTTATGCAAGACGAGAGACGCCTTTTTAAACTGCTTCTGGGCGTAGAGTCGGCCGGTGGTTCTCTGCTTGACGAGAATCACGGTGCCGTATGCGCCCTTTCCAAGGCATCGCAGAGGTTCAAAGTCCTCGGTAGTCATCTTTCGTCGAGCGACCAAGCCACCCTCAATGGCTCCGAACATGCCCGCCTTCTCGGGGACGGTTTCGCTGACAAAGTCGTTCTCGAGATTAACCTCATAGCTCGTCGTACCGCTGTCAGAGCCCTCGCTGCCGCCATCGCTGTGGAGGGTGTCGCGACTACCACAGCGGCTCATGTCGACGCTCAAGATACCGTTGGTAGGGCCACAGTAGCGGGGCAATCCTAGCTGGCTCCCGCTGAGGGTCATGGTGCTGGCGCGAGAGGTCGAATCAAGGCTGAGCGGTTCCATAGCCTGGCGGAGCTTTGCGATGCCAGACACGGCGGGGGACGCAGTAGCCCGAATGCTAGGGCTGCAGTTGGCGCTGACTACATCGCCGAGGAGGGGCTTTCCGCGGCGGTTGATGAGTGGTGGCGTTTCGCAGGCAGTGCTATAGTCGGAGTCCTCATCGCCCGAGGTAATGGGGGTCCCGGTAAATCCCCGCACCGTGGTTAGTGCGGGGACACTTCGCGCCGACATCTGGCCCGTCGTCGTCTAGTATCGCCGTGACAAGGTGGGGCTTTATATAGCGGGACGTCGTCGTCCTACGATCCCGCGAAGACGGGTGGCCTTCCTATATTATCACCCCACGCCCCCGGCAATACCGCGGACCGGTCCTCGAAGAGGAGAACAAAAGAGAAAAACCCGAGCGCCGCGGCTCGAGTAAATAAATGATCGCTTCTCGCAGCAGCGATCAATCTTATGCAGCGCAAAGCGAGCCTCGTCGGCGCTCAGCGTCAGCTCGGAGCTCAAACTGGAAATTTCGGACTTGGTTCTGGTAGCTGGGCTCAAGCATGAGGGACTTGAAGAAGAGACCGGAGAATTCGTAGGGCCGTCGGAGCCTATGCATTGAGGAACAGTGGGATTCGATGTAAAGTTCGGGGTCGTAAGAATGGAGATTTAGTGTCTGCTATTGTTGTCTGGTTTTCACCAAGGCTTGTTGGGATGTGAGGAAAGGGAAGAAAAAAAAATTCAGAAGGAAGGAGGGAGGAGGCAGGTAGAAACAGGGCTTCTAAAGGCCTGCTAAAAGCGGAAAGCGCCTTGGCGGAGGAAAAAATAATCAAAGCACAGATCGAAGCCAATTCACATGCTCCACCAATTTGAACCAATTGGGCCAGTAATAAAGGACAGAATACGCCTAAATCTCATTTCTCCCCAGGAAATACACGGGCCCTGGATGGCGGGTACTTAAGCGGCAGGTTAAATTAGGCGGGACATTTAGGTACCCCGGCCCATCAGCCACTGTTCCCCGGGAGTATGAAGTACTTCTCCTTTGTACGTCCACATGCTTCATTCTGGCGGCCCAAAAATAGAGTCTAGACCTCTGGAGATGCCCAGCTGAGCGGAAATTCAAGGCTTTGGACCCCTGTTCAAGCCCCAGAACAACACGCCTCAGAACCGCGAGGACTGATTTGCAGCTGCCACATCAAGGTTTTGACAGATCATTGAGGCGTCAGGCACCGTTCACCCTTTTTTTTTTTTTTTTTTTTTTTTTTTTTTTTTGCCTATTATTCTTTTTTTTCTTTATTCCTCGTTTCGATTTTTTTCTCTCTCGATTTTATAGAGAAGATAGATGTGAGTGTCATCTACTTTGTGCCGCTCTTTTCGAGACACTACGGATGTCCTTTCCCTTTTGTCTAGGTTTTTGAAACCAGATGACTTCCTTTTAATTACACCACTTATGCATGCGACCAGGCATCAGTATGGAGGCTCCGCCTGAGGAGAGTATTACCAGACGCTACCTGTGTATAAAGAGCAGGTATGCAATCACACTCGGACTCCGTCGCCAGAGGACTCAGCTTAGCTCAGTTCAATCCACGCCGAGGGCATAGATAATTGTTCACAGGCTCCTGTCCGGGCCTAGCTGTACTATCTTCTAGTCGGGTATATTAACACCGCTGTGAATTCCACTACCGCCATCACTTCTATCATTTCCATCAAATATGAACTTTGTTGCTTATTACAGTCCTTCTCCATCATTCCGACCCCATATCTTAATCGTCCGATCGTGACCTCCACTGATGATATACCTTCCGTCCCTGCTAATATCCACGCTACCGACCGGCCCAGTGTGCCCACTCAGCTCCTGAATAAGACTCCAGTCATCGGCAGAAAAGATCTTGACCTTGCGATCCACGCCGCTCGAGACGAAGAACGTGCCCGACTTCATCGGCAGCTGCGCCCCCTTCTCATCAACGCCCGGTGGCACGCCGTCCAGTGGATCATCTAAGCCCTTGTACCATCTCACGTCAGACACCGCGCTGGTGTGCGCTCCAATGCCGCCCGTCCTCTGCACTTTTCGAAGGTCCCAGCACTTTATCCATCCGTCAGCAGAGGCCGTGAGGACCCGGTGGCCGTCGGAGCCCCAGTCGAGACCGTAGATAGGCTTTATGTGACCGTCCATGTAGCCGTCTAATATCATAATCGTCCTCCCCGTGCGAAGGTCCCAGATCCGGCCGATACTGTCCAGGCCGGCGCTCGCTAGCAGAGATCCGTCCGAGTTGAACCCGACGGCATATACGCCCCTCGAGTGACCGTCCTGCAATAATAGTTCCGTAGTCTTCTCGACATCCCATAGTCTCCAGGACGTATCTTCTGAAGCCGACGCGACGTAGCGCCCCGATGGGTGGAACTCGACTCTGCAGACCCTCTGGGTATGGCCGGAGAGCGTTGCTTTAGGCGTGTCTTGCGTCAGCGACCAGAGGTGAACCTGCCCTTCGGCACCTCCCGAGACAAGGTTGACCGAATCCGAAGAAACTCCGCTTTCGGGCAGTGTCGCGCCCGGGAACCACGAGATCCCGCTAATCTTCCCCGTATGGCCCCTAAATGTCTTCCCCTCTTCTAAATCCGGCAGGCTGAAGAGCTTGAGCGTGCCCCCCCAATTTCCAACCGCCACCGACTTTCCGTCGGGTGATATCCTCGTCATACTAACGTGCCGATCTCCTGCCGTCTGTGACCCTTGCAGCTCGAAGCCGTGGAGTTTCTCCTTCACTTGCTTCCTAAATTTGACATGTGTCCGGAGGGGAATCTTCGCCTCTTCCTTCTGAAACGCGACGCGGCGCTTGGCCCTCGGTAATGAGAACTCCGCAATGTCGATTCGCGCTTCTAGCAACGCCTGTCCGCCCCTGGTATAGAACTCCTCTTCCTGCTCCTCTTCCTCCTCCTCCTCCTCTCCGACGTCTTCCATCGTCACATCGCCGCCAGCCTCCTGCTTGCTCGCTAGCTCCGCCTGGACTGTGAGCAGCTCCCGTAGACGATCTCTTCGGTCGGCGGGTCCTTCTCCGAACAACGTTATCGGTTCTCCTAGTTCTCGTAGTCTCGCGCGGACTCGCCCGTCGTCGGTGGGTACGGCGATCGTAGCTGCTAAGCGCTTTCGGTTGAAGGATGACAGGATGGCGGATGCCTTCTCGGGCGCTATCCCTGCGCCTCCCGCGGGGATATCGTAGTCATGGTCCATTGGTACATCCTCGAGCGCGATCCCCCTCCTCTCCTCCGCCTCGGCCTCTTCGACGTAGGCCTGGCGCGACGGATGCATTATTGGCGATTAGGTATTATATCGGGCAGGCAGGCGGATGTGATTCCGGGCGGGTGACAAGCCAAATTCGGAGGGGTTTTTTTTTTTTACTGCGGTGGAAGTTACAGGAGGTCGACTTGGAGAAGTGGCAAAGGCGGCTTGATTGTGGAAGGTGTGGGATGTTTTTATGCTTCCTACTTGAGCTTTCTGAGAAAGGTCTTGGAAGAGCTTGCATCTTGTTCGAAAAGAATAGAGTGAGCAGGTGGTAACAGCTGTGTGCAAATACTGTCACGTGATATAGCCGAGACCCAGGCACTTTGCTCCACTATCCACTTTTATCCCAAGTCGCCTCTATCACAGAAGCAAAGATCACAGCAGATTACCTAACAAGATCTCAACTTTCTGGAATCACAACCAACTTCTTTGAAGAAACTGTGAAGGAAAAAGTAACCAACTCTAGCCGGCATTCCAGAATCTCTTCTTCTATCCATCCCTCTGAAAGAAACACCCGAACCATACCAGACCATTACCCTTATCGCCACTGAATATCCATGCCCTCCACCCTCATTTACTCCCCTCGAAACCCGATCTAGTCCACCTCCAAACGGCCGCGGCAATGGCTAGCATCGACCGATACCGTCCGCCGAGGGAAGGCTATCAGCCCCCGGCCATCCCCCAGCAGAACACTTCGCGATCGCCGACGCGCAGACGCGAAGTCCCTCCTCCCGCCCCATCTCCCCCCACACATTCCTCGAGGACGTCGCCGCCCAGGAAACGGGATGTCCCGTCGTCGCCAGCCCTCTCAGCGCCCCAGACTCCCAGCCCGAATCCGGCGAACCAGTGGTTCTTTACGCCCGAGGAGGTGTTGAGCACGCCGTCCGTAATAGATGGCTTACGCCCCGCCGAGGAGAGGTTGCGACGGGCTAAGGGCGTGAACTTCATCTATCAAGCTGGAGTGCTTCTCGACTTGCCGCAGATTACTCTCTGGGTTGCAGGGGTGTTCTTTCATCGTTTCTACATGAGATACAGTATGGTGGAGGAGAGGAACGGTATACATCACTATGTAAGAATTTTTCTTTTCTCCTTGTGTCACAGTGCCCTTTGGAGCAGTTTTAATTTGCATTGAAATCCTGTTCGAGAACTAACCGGCGCCAGAACATCGCGGCCACGGCGCTTTTCCTCGCAAACAAAACCGAAGAGAACTGCCGCAAAACAAAGGAGATAATCATCGCCGTCGCCCGAGTCGCCCAAAAGAACTCCCGCCTCATCATCGACGAGCAGAGCAAAGAATATTGGCGCTGGCGGGACAGTATCCTCATGTACGAGGAGCTGATGCTCGAGCTCCTCACCTTCGACCTCATGATCGACAACCCCTATCGCAGCCTCTTCGAGCTCCTCGGCCAGCTCGACCTGGCTCATAACAAGACGCTGCGCCAGGCGGCCTGGACCTTCTGCAACGACGCCTGCCTCACGGCGCTGCCCCTGCTCATGGAAGCGCGGGACATCGCGATTAGTGCCATCTTCTTCGCCAGCGCGCATACGACGCAGCAGATTGACGACGTCGACGGCGAGCCGTGGTGGCGGTTCCTCAACGGCGACGAGGGCAAGTGCGTTCGGGCCATTGATGTCATGAGGCAGTTCTACACCGAGAATCCCCTCCGGAAACAGAACCCGTCGCTACCCTCGCCTGCTTTCTTGCTCGAGAACACGCGGAGGAGGGGGCAGATCGTGCATAGTCAAACTCCGCCGCCCACAGCTACTCCTATGGCCGACCGGTCGACGCAGAGCCCTAAGCCTCAGGCTAATGGTGGCGCCGATCGTGCCTCTGAGTCCAGGGATTCTAGGGACCCTGACATAGTAATGTCAGGCGCCAGTCAGCAACCCCCCAGCCAGAGAGTCAACGGCAATGCCTCCCCCACTAAGAGGAAATCGGTTGACTCGGACGCCGAATCTGAGGGTGCCCGCGCTGCAAAGCGACCGAGATCGTCGGACGACGAAGAAGGTGAGGTCGCCGACTCATGAAAAACACGGGGACTCCAGGCAGGCCGGGGATCCATCCATTTTCAATCACGTCGATCCACCCGACACTAACGACGAATGAATCTCCCGGAGGAGAGAACCCGAGAATGAAAATCCGGAGCAGCAACTCGTCCTGCCCAGCAAGAACATTGATCCTTGTTTCTTTTTTTTTCTTTTTTTTTTCTCACGACTCATCTGTACACTGATGCAAAATAAGGCAGGGAGGGGATAATCGTCAGCGGCGTTTTCGGACCGACATGGGCAGTCGGGTTTTCTTAACTAATTTTTTTTCTTTGCCTTTTTTATCTTTCCTCATTCTTGCTTTTCTCCGTCTACATATCTGCCCCCAACTTTGCTTTAGGCCTTTTTTTTCATCCAAGTGTATCATCAGCGCCTATTAACAAAATCGGGGCCCTGTCTCCAACGAATACTTAATCTTCAGACCTTGACAGAGGAGAGAGCACGCAAGGCTCGCAAAGAGGAACGCGCTGGCAGTGTACTTAAACACCTCGCTGATGTAGATAGGGGCATCCTTTTTTTTTAGCTGAGTTTCGGCGTTGCTAGCGAGTTCATTCACAGAGAATACATGATCGCAAATGGTACCGCTTCGGTAGAAGACATCTATGAAAACCCAGATTTTTAAAGAGGAAGGCTCATCATGAATTGCATCGTCTAAATAAAAGGGGGAAAAAAAGGGAAAAAAAAACACCAGCTTGGTTTTGAAATCCAATTGGGCACGGTTTCGCAATAACAACGTCCCTTCAATAAATAAAATAAAATAAAGTTAATATAAACAAGGCACCGCCGGCCGATTTTTCCCTTTTACTTGTGGATCCTGCAAACCAAATCCGAGCCATCCACCGAATCGCCTTCCTTTACTTGAAGTCCTGAGACCTTTCCGTTGTGAGGGGCGGAGATGACCATTTCCTGCGAATGGAGTTAGTATACATGTAATTCGTAAAGCAACTAACTGGGTAGTGGGAGAAAAGAAAAAACATACCATCTTCATCGCGCTGAGGACGGCAAGAGGGTCTCCCTTCTTCACCTCAGATCCCTCCTGAACCCTCAGTTCGACAAGGACACCAGCCATGGGGGCGCCGACCTGGCTGCTGTCACCAGGATCAGCCTTGGGACGGCTGATGTTCTCAACAGCCGCCGCCCTGTCCTCGACAGTAACCTGTCGGACCTCTCCGTTCATCTCGTAGAAGACCTCCCTCATACCCGTGTTGTCGCTAAGGGGGCCAACGGCGAGAAGCTTGAGGATAAGAACCTTACCCTTCTCGAGCTCAACGTGGAACTCCTCGCCAATGTCGGGCTTGGAGAGGAAGTACTTGGTGGGAAGAACCGAAAGGTCACCAAACCTGGTGGTGAACTTCTTGTAGTCCTCGAACACCTTGGGGTACATGACGTACGAGGCAATGTCGCAGTCGGTGACCTTGCCGTACTTCTTGGAGAGCTCGCGCTTGGTCTTGGTGAAGTCGACAGGGTCGAGGAACAGACCGGGGCGAGCATCGAGCTTCCTGCGGCCACGGAGGGCATCAGTGCGGAGGGGTTCGGGGAAACCTCCGTATGGCTGGCCCATCATGCCCTCGAAGAACTCAAGAACCGATCCAGGGAAGTCGAGCTGAGAAGCCCTGGCCTTAACATCCTCAGGAGTAAGCTTGTTGGATACCATGAACTGCGCAAGATCTCCCACCACCTTCGAGGTAGGAGTGACCTTGACGATGTCTCCGAGAAGCTCGTTGGCATGCTCGTAGGCCTTCTTCGTCTCGGCCCACTGAGATCCAAGGCCGAGCTGAGAGGCCTGGAACATCATGTTGGTGAGCTGGCCACCCGGAATCTCGTGCTCGTAAACCTCGGGGTCGGGGCCGGTGAGATGGGCCTCGAAGGGCGAGTAGAGGAGACGGAGCTGACCCCAGTACTGATCGATGGCCCGGATATGGCGAACGTTGAGGTCGGGCTGGAGTTCGCTGCCTTCGAGAGAGGCGAGGATGGCGTTGATGCTAGGCTGCGAAGTCATGCCCGACAAGCTATCGGTGGCAGCATCGACGACGTCGGCACCAGCCTTAGCACAGGCCGCCATGGAAGCGACACCGGTACCCGCAGAGTCGTGGGTGTGGACGTGGATGGGCAAGTCGGGGTATTTCTTGCGAATGGAGCCGATCAGAAGGGTAGCGGCGTGGGGCTTGAGAACACCAGCCATGTCCTTGATGCCAAGGACGTGGATGTCAAGCTTGACAAGCTCATCGACGAGCTGAAGGTAGTAGTCGAGGTTGTACTTCTTCTTGGGGTTCAACATGTCACCGCTGTAGCAAACGGTACCCTCGACCACACCGCCAGCCTTGTGGACGGCCTTGATACCGACCTCGAGCTGGTGGATGTCGTTAAGGGCGTCGAATACTCGGAAGATGTCGACGCCATTCTTCTTAGCCTGGTCGACAAAGTGGTCGATGGCGTTGTCGGGGAGAGAGGCGTAGGCGACACCGTTGGCGCCTCGGAGAAGCATCTGGAAGGGGATGTTGGGTACGAGCTTTCGCATACGGCGAAGTCGGTCCCAGGGGTCTTCGTAGAGGAAGCGCATGGCAACATCGAAGGTGGCGCCTCCCCAGCACTCCAAACTGTAGAGATTGGCCAGAGCGTGGCTGGTCTCCTTGGCGATGTTGAGAAGGTCGACCGTTCGAACACGCGTCGCCAAGAGCGACTGGTGGGCATCGCGCCATGTGGTATCCATAATCATGCAACCCTTGTTCGCCCTGACGGCCTTGGCGAAAGCCTTGGGGCCCTGCTCGAGAATAATCTGGCGCAGACCCTGCTTGCTAGGCTCGCTAACATCGATCTTGTTGCCATTGTCGTCGGTAAGCTCTGGGAGGATAATCTCGCCCTTGAATTTGGGCTCACCAACCTGGCCCTTGATGCTGCTGCCGTTGACGGCGACATCACCGAGGTAGCCAAGAAGCTTCTGGGCACGGTTCTGACTGCCGATAAGGTCGAAGAGGGAGGGGGTATCGTCGATAAAGGTGGTCCAGCAGTTTCCGCTGATAAAGGTGGGGTTGGTGAGGAGGGAGGCAAGGAAGGGAATGTTGGTCTTCACACCACGAATGCGGAATTCCACGAGGGCTCGGAGCATCTTCCTCCTGGCAATTTCGTAGGACGAACCGTGGCAAGTGCACTTGACCAACATGGAGTCGTAGTGGGGAGTAATGACGGCGCCAGCGAAGCCGTTACCGCCGTCAAGGCGGACACCGTTGCCACCAGAAGATCGGTAGACCTCGATCTTTCCGGTATCGGGTTGGAATCCCTTAGCGGGATCTTCGGTGGTGATTCGGCACTGGATGGCGAAACCTCGAGTGGTGATGGTCTCCTGGGTGAGGCCAAGCTGCTGGAGGGTAGCACCGGCGGCAATCTGGATCTGGGCGGCAACAATATCGATTCCGGTAATCTCCTCCGTAATTGTGTGTTCGACCTGGATACGGGGGTTGATCTCAATAAAGTAGTATCGGTTCTGCTGGTCAACCAAGAACTCGGCGGTACCGGCATTACGATAGTTGACGGACTTGGCCAGCTTGACGGCATCGGACAAGATCGAGTCACGAACGTTGGCGGGAAGGTCCTTTGCTGGGGCAATCTCAACGACCTTTTGGTGCCTTCGCTGCACGGAGCAGTCTCGCTCGTACAGGTGAATGATGTTGCCGTAGTTGTCACCGAGAAGCTGCACCTCGATATGCTTGGGCTTATCAAGGAAGCGCTCAACGAAGACAGTTCCGTTACCAAAAGCGGACTTGGCCTCGGAAGTCGCGCGTTCGAAAGATTCCTGAAGATCCTTTTCCTCGCGGACGACCCTCATACCACGGCCACCACCTCCATAAGCAGCCTTGATGATGATAGGGAAGCCGTAGGTATCGGTGAAGGTCTTGACAGCCTCGAAGTTATCAACAGCATCCGGGGTACCAGGTACGACAGGCACGTTAGCCGCAATAGCGAGCTTTCGAGCAGAGACCTTGTCACCGAGGGCAGTGATAACTTCGGCGGGGGGACCGACGAACTAGAGGTGACAATTCCGCGTGAGCTCGGGGCGAAATTGGGTGTTTAGCACATGAGAAACTTACCACAATGCCGGCATCCTCGACCTTCTGGGCGAACTCGGCATTCTCAGAGAGGAAGCCATAGCCTACATGAGGAATGTTAGCACAACCGAAGGTTTAACAGTAACTCCCCCTGTGGGAAGTATATAAAACACCTTCTCTCTCCAAGCGGGCATGCGTGTATAAATATATACATGAAGGTATATACTTATTATATATTATATTTCGCAGAAGAAGAGCAAAAAGGATGGATGTTTGAAAATGGACAACAATAGCTGCCACAAGAATGTGCGGCAGAGTTTTTAAGGGGAAGAAACGAACCTGGATGGATCATGTTGGCGCCATGTTCAAGGGCAATCTTGATGATCTCATCACCAGCGAGATAGGCTCCCACTGGGGTGTACTGGCCACGCTTGCCAATGACATATGCCTCATCGGCCTCTATATCAAAGGATTAGTTATCCGGTCCAAGTTGAAAGATTGCTATTCATAGAGAGCTCAAAGAAGGACCTACTCTGCCTGTGCATGCTAAGGCGGTCCTCATAACTAGATAGGTGTAAGTAAAAAGGCCTCTGGTTTGTAATGCAACTAGCTAGCTAGTATTGTTTTTGGTAGAGCTAGAGAGCAAGTTACCTGAAGACTGCAATGGTATGCAGCGAAAGCTCGTGGGCCTATCCGAAAATCGGTTAGTCTCGAAAAAAAATTAACTGCAAGAGTGGTGGGGAAAGGCAAGGCGCAATTGCAAGCAAGCAAAGTCCAGCCAACATGCAAACTGCAAACCAAAATCAGGGCTTTAAACAGTAACTTACAGTTCTGAAAATCTGTTTATCCAAAAAGAGATATAGTGAGCTTCAGGGGTCTAAAAAAAGAGAGAAGGGAAAGAGAACCATCAAAGGCAGGAGTCAAATGAGTCATACACGAATAGCTAGAAGAAAGTGCTGTTAGCAAACTGTGTTCCTTGATTGTCACACTGGAGGGAGTTGGCATTTGCCTGGGGTAAAACTTACGAATTTCACCTCGGTTAGCAACTGGAGGAAGTAAATGGAGTTAGTTAGCACACAATCACAAGTCAATTGGACTCGAGACGCCCCGAGGAAGCAATTGAAGCATACCCAGGATCTTCTTCACCTGCATAATGCTGGAATTGGCCCGGATGTGGTGGACCGTCTGAGTCTCCTTGATGTCATCCTCCTCATCGAAGACATCAGCAAAGGTGAGGTCGGTTTGGGGCGGGGCGTGATCCATGGTGACGAGAGGAGCGACAGAACTCGAAGGTATGGGGGAGGAGGTTGGGCTCGGTTCTGTCGAGAGGATGGAGGTTGATCGAGGAGAGAAAGAAGGTGCGAGGAGAAGCTTGGGAGGTCCGCGAAGATATGGACGAAGTACTGCTGCGAGACGTGAGGGACGAACGGTGGTTTACTCGAGCAACCAAGGTCCGACGAGACGGTGGGACTAAACCGGCTATTAGTGATTGCCTATTAATGAGGCGACGGTAACGCAGAAGAATGTCCGTAAAAATAATGGTAATCCCACTCTTTGTGAATGGTTAGATGGTGGGGTCGCGCTAAGGCCAGGAGTCGCGGGAAATCGAAGGAGAATGAGCAGGAGTGGGAGCAGGAGGTCCTGATTCCAAGTGACAGCGCAGGGAACCCAAGAGCCAGGCCTATTCGCCCTGGTATTTTTTTTTTCTTCCTTTCTTTTCTTTGGTTGCTTTTTTTCGAGAACGGTTGGAAGCGCTACGTTGTTGGGGAGGGGGGTGAAGGATGGGGTGGAGGGGTGGAGGGGTAATTCGAAGCTGCTGAGCTTCAGAAGTGAAAAAGTGGGAGATGCAATGGGAGGGTGTGGGAGCCGAAGTGGGAGAGCCGACATGGAGGGGTGGGAACAGTGGAGAGAGCACAGGCCTAACTAAGCCTGGGAAAGGATTGGGGAGTGGGGAAAAATGCGACAAGGTTGTAGAGGGTGAAGTATTGATTTGGCTCCGGAATAGGGCGACAGTGGGACAACGGAATAAGCGGTGGAGGGGCAGAGGGGGGTAGAGTGGAGGACTTGAGGACTTGAGGGTAAGTGGACTTCAAGGTTGGTGTTGTGGAGGGGCGAAAAAGACAGCTGATCAGGACCAATTGATCAATTGATCAGTGCAGTCTGGCGTGAAATTGATAATTGATAAGGGAACTTGAATAAGTCGAGGTACTCACATAGTTCGTTTTGCACACTAATACACACCGGACAAAGGCAAAGAGGGCCAAGGGCACAAGGCTATATTCCAAGAGAACCTGGCTGATTCGAGGGTAGGTTCAATTGCCCTTCAATCCCCCTGTCCTCGTCCGGGAAGGGGCTGCTGATCTGTTATCTGTTGTTCTTGGTGTTGTTACTTTTTCCCTATCAAGGAGGTGGACGGTGGTGATGCAAGAAAGTGTCGGGGTAAGACCAGATCCGAGGTTAGATAATATCAATGTCGAACCAGGGTCTGGCTACTGAACGTAGAGGTTCAACGAGGAGAGGAAGAAAAGAAAAAGATAGAGGAAGGGGGGAAAGAGATATTAGAGTCCGGGTGAAGGGGGTTAAGTAGTTGATCTGTTGCCTATCGTTAGAACTCGCTGCTGAAGCTCGGGTGTTGAGGAGCTCGAAGGACTGAGCTTGAGCCGACCGAGAATCAAACCGACCAATGAACTGGACGAGAAGCTCTGCTCTTTCTTCAAAGAAGTGATCCATTGCCTTCGAGGACAATTGTAGCTTGCATTAAAGGTACTTGTACATGATATCCGCCACGAGAGAAAAGCACATGGACCTATCCGACAGCTCTGGCGGGAGCTGCAAGAACCTCATCCATCAACGATCGAGCCGCTTATTGATCAATTTCACACCCTTCGTCGACAATGCTCCGTATTCCGGGTGGCCTCGGGCTTGGTACATGTACACTGCACCAGTTAATACTTCGTACTCGTTCATCACGACTTCGCCCCGCCAGAGATGTACGAAGTACTCGTTAATCAAGTTTACAGACCCATTGATCTCGAGGTGTGAGAGCTAAACGAAGTTCTGTCCAATGTGTCTGTCCAGCACAGAAAGCGGACGGGCCAATAGCGAGAATAATTAATCGAGGGATCCCTTAATCAATCCTATAACCAGTTTCTTGGTTTTTTGGACCTCCCCCCACGAACAGAGAGTAGCAGAGTAGCTCGGTGCCATTTGTCACGGAAAATTGAAAAGTAATTCAAAGTGTTACAGTTACCTGGACCAGGTGAGCTTGGAGACATCAAGTCAATCCATTGATATCTGGATCCTGCAGTACCCCACTCCCAAACCACCCTCCCGACCGCCCCCGTCCATGTCCAGGGTGCGTAAAGCCATGCTCGACACATGCGATTGATCGATTCGACGGTCTTGTTAGATGTCAAGCAGGAAGAACGGGCAAAGACGCGGCCCCCGGCCTGTATAGACCCAGGATAGCTCCGAGAGAAGGGGGGTAGGAGCACATGGATGAACATGGATGGCTCCCACCTGCAGCCATCACCCTGCAAGCTCTCGTGCTGGTTGAGCTTCCGACACCAGTCTGTGGCAAACCACCACAGATATACCCTTGACGGGAGCAACGGATGATGTGTTGTTGACCAACCACCAAAGATACTATTACAGGATACAATTTGATCGCAACGAGTACAGACGAAGTAATTGGAACACTGCGTGCCATGATACACAACGCTCTCGCAGCCAACACGACAGCTGTTGGGAAGGAAAAAAAGAAGGTTACGCGTGGGATGAAGGATGATTTTTTCCCTTGATGATGTGGAGGTCGGTAAAGGGATTTTCCCGACTCACATACTATGCAGCAGATTATGTGTGAGGATAGGTCATTTTCCAGCTCCATGGATCTGCAGCACGGCACAGAAACGGCGGCAACTGTTTTGGGGTCGTTGAGCGGTTCGTATACAACATTGAAGTCTTACTTTCCAGATCGGTTGAGGAGACTGTGACAGATCGTGAGGAGGGCGGGGAAAAGAAGCCCCCTTGGGAAAAAAAAAATTCAAAAGAAAGAGAAGCGAGAAAGGACATTATGATTGTTATTGATGGAATGGAGATGATAAACATGCAGGGCCGGAGCCGTAGCACGCTCGCAATCTCGAAACTACATGTAGTTTATGTCGTGAGAATGGCGGTAAGGTAAGATCCCGTATCGCTTTGGTCCACTCAGAAGCACTGAGCTAAAAGTCAGCCGACTAGCGAGCGAGTAAACCGTTCGGATTCCCCAAAAGTTTCTCAATTTCAAGGGGGAAAAGAACGGCACCACCTGCCACCCAGGCAGCTGGAGGTCATCAGCCAGTGAACGGGACACGGGGAAACGGCGCAGCGCGGGGGTTCAGAGCAAGTCCACCCCGCCAATGGGTCCATGCATATCATTGTATCCATCGTAGCCATCAATCAAGCAGGCTGCCCCTCCAGCTTGGGGCACCGCAACGAATGAAACTCGAATCGATCACTGATCTCAGCACCCTGGACTGGGGCACTGAAGTTTGGCGCACCCCCTCCAAAAATATTCTAGCGCAAGGCAAAAACCCAAGGGGTCCCTGGATCAGAACTTGGCCCGTGTGCCTAGCGTAAATCGGTGAGGTAATGCCGAAAGCGTCGTAATTTCGAGCAAAACACCCGGAATCCGTTCCAACGAGCTCCGTCATGACCGTTTCGCCTTTCAGTACCTCAATACAACGCTCGACTAAGTAATACTACGCAAGTCCCATGTACTTCGCAGTGTAGGAGGAACAAGAGACGAGGGACGAGTTCGCAGGAGGACCATTTACGGCCCGCGGCACATTCACCAGCTCGTTTTTTTTTTTTTTTTTTTTTTTTTTTTCCTTCCTTCTTTTTTTTGATTCGTGTGACCCAGTGACCCAACCTCAACGCCTGTCTGAGCGAGTCGTTCATGTGAGCCAACCTAGCTCATTCCGTGCAGATACTTTTCGTAAACAGTTTTCCCGTCTTGGTAAAGGCGATTGGGAAACCACGGGTCAAGTGGGGAGCAGACATCAATCATACTTCGTACATACGAAGAGCAGGGACAGAAGTGAAAAAGAAGAAGAGTAACAAAGACCCGCGATACTGAAAATGAAGACATTTCGCCGACTTCCCCGGAAAGCCTCCACAACTTTCAAGGAACTGATGAAACACACCGAATTGACGAGAATCGGACCTAGTGTAGTGTTGAGCCTCAAACAAGGAAGGGGGAGAGCCACATTCACGGCTAACGCAGGACTTATTTTCACGGGGAAAGGATTTCATACATGCAGGGAAAGCCAAGAAAACCAGAGGGGTAGCTCCTAGCCTCCGACAACCTCGATCAAAAGAAAGAGAAAAAAATTGATCAATTGCTCCACTAACCCCGAGTTTCCGACCCCGACCTCGGCTTTGCGACTGCTCAAGGGCTCAAGGAGATGTCGGCTTGATTCCTGAGCGTCGGCCAAATTATCAGCTTCTGCCCATTCTTTCCGTCATACCTGTCTCACTTTTTTCCTTCTCCTCTTTTTATTTGAGAATTTCTGCCCACGGGGCCACATGGCGTCATCCAGTGAAGCGCAGAGCTGGTCGAGGGAGCGGTTGAGCCCTTGAGCCTTTGATTGATGGATCAATTCTGAAGTCCTTCACCTGACCCTCCAGCTCCCCTCCACGTCCTGGCAACTTCCTGGCAACTTGATGGCTTCGGCTCCGATTTTGCCTACGTAAACTAAACTAACTTATTATCTTTGTTTCTTTGCATGCCCTTGCCACACCCTCAGACATCCTGTACATGCAAGAATCACCTGTTGAGTGAGATGGGACGACAGGATTCGGCGGCATGGCATAACACAGATCTCTCCGCTCCGAGCGGAGATAATGCCATTGGTTCAGGGCAAGTGGCGAGTGTGACCGCGCCTATCAATTGCATATATCTTCTTTAAGTTTCCAATCGGTGTAACTAAGATAGCACTCCCGGCTATCAACGATGCCTTCGAGGTGGGCTTCGACTTCTTAGTCTTCTCGCGGGACCAATTTCTTCCATTGGGGCTCAAGAAGTTGCCTTTTCATGATCTACTCATCACGTTTCCACGTGGCCGTGTCTTAGGCAAGGAATTCAATTGCTAAACACACAGTCTGGAACAGCTGTGCTCCTTACATCGTGAAGCCATGACAGGGCGGGATGCAAGATCAACCGGGAGTCTTCTTCAAGATTCCCGCTATCACGGAGCTAAGATCTTCAGAGTTACGCTTTTACCCAACTGTACATGGAACATGTACACGTTACCTGTCTGTACCTCTCGAACGTGCACATGCCGATACGGTATTCACAGGTTTACGGGCGCCAGGCACATGCTTTCTCGAGGCCTGTCAAAGTAGTCGGTTGTGCTGAGAACCTGCCACTATCAGGTGAGCGTAGCCCTTTTTGCCCTTTTTGGAGACGATACGACCAATCAACCAGGTACGTGAGGGTGTCTTCCTGTGCTTTGCATACCTTACATGTACGTTATAGGCGAACTTCCCGCGTTTGGACCCTGAATGCCTCAGAAACGCTTCCTCATCCTGCTAGGGCTTGCCAATCGTGGATACTCATGCTGTCAAACCGCCCAACCTCGATGGCCTGAAAGTCCGAATCCTCCCGCACTTAGGGGGAACCAATCCCTCGGGAAGCCCAGTCCGCCATTCTCCACCCCTCTATTGGCTCCTCTGAGTCTCTGACCAACCCATCCACCTTTCCGACAGGTCAGTCAGTTGCCCATTGCCGGGCAAGTATCGGTAACCTAGGCTGGAAAACGTAACCTTGTGAAATCCCTCCGTTGGTTTCGTGACGGTTCAATTTTTTTTTTTTTTTTTCCCGCTCTTGTCTTGGTCTTTACCCCAGACCTTTGTTTCTGACCGGAATCCGCCGTCTTCGGGCGGCTTAGTCTCCAAGAGCCGAGCTGAGGCGGATTCTCCCGAGGTCTCCCCCCCCCCTTCGTACGCCCGTTCTTAAACGCCATATCTCGCGTGGTCTTCGTCACCGAAGACCCCCCATTACAAGTTCCCCTTTGTACCTGTGACTCTGTGACTGTCATTCTACCGACCTGCTTTACTCAGAGCCGGTGTTTTCGGCTTGAGAAAGCCGAGCTTGTGTGTGAGAATTGACTTTCCCCGGATTTTTTCTTGACCCGCAAGTATGCGTCCGTTCCCCTCCACCCCTCACCCCCCCTTTCCCCTCCCTTCTTGCCTGCCTGCCTGCCTGTTGGAAGGAAGCTCTTTTGAGGCGTTCCGTTGGTTATATATTGATGTTGCTGGCGCTGACAGCGGTGTGTGTCACTGCGCCTCGAAGGCTCCAAGCTCCCCTTTGGCCCGCGTTTACCTCGGTGATTGACGTGACTGTCGTGATTGTCCTAATATGCATCCGTTTCTCTTCCTCACGAGTGTCATGACTAAGAAATATGGGGGGTGCGCACATCATCGTCGAGAATAGAAACCATGTAAGGATTGAGGCATGCCAAGTTGTACAGGCGGCGAACCTAGGTCATTCGCTGACCTCTATGTATTGCACGTTTGTCCTTGGTCCAATGGTGGGACCTTGATAAGTCTATGTTAACCTCATTTCCTCAACCAAACATTGGCCCATTTAACCTTTCCTTGAAATTCCTCGAGAAGGGGCAAGAAAGAAATCATATCGGAACGGAAAACCTCCCTCTCATCACAGCGTGGTATATGATATCCTCACACCTGCACACCATCATTCCCTACACTCATTCGTATGCCAGGGAGCCGTGTACGCTAGCTGGTACGATGACTGAGGCATGCACGATCTCGCCTCTCACCCCGTACCACTCAACAACAAAAACAACAACAACAACAGTATTTCTATGCCTTCACCTCTTCCAGTTTAGGAGGGGCTACGGTGTCTTTCTGTGCCGCCTTCGCCGCCGCCAATTTCTCTTTGCCACCCCAATAATTGTAGTTTAGGTATCGGTAACCTTGTGTGAATTGTGCGCCGCCGTTGACCACGTGGCAGGCGAAGAGAAGGTAGTTCTTGGGGGTGATGGCAAGAGCATACCGCGCGAAGGTACAGGAGTACACGCAGAGAGCAGCAGTCATCTGGCCCGAGATACTAAACACACGAGTTGCGCGTTAGCAAGAGCTCGCTATGGATGATTTGGATGGACGCCCGGCCCGACCCCGGATCCCGATGTGGGGAATGGGGAATGGGGGATTGGGGGGGTTGTGGTTATCGAGGACGAGGCAACTTACAGCTCAGGACTCTTTTGTGTGTCCATAATGGCTGCTAGGGGAATACCGAAGTTCGATACAGGGCCCCAGAAGTCTACGAAATATTGGTCAGTATTCCTCTATCAAACCCTTAGTTCTTAAAGCTCCTATCCGCCCAGCCGCTGCAGCTTAGCACGTGGCAACCCGGAAGCTAGCACGAGACGCAATCCGATTATCGTAAATCGCGTCTCTTGCATCGTACAGGCTTTAGGATCAGATAGATCGGCGCGGCGTCGAGTCCGGAGCAAGTCGTGCTGGGTCCATCGAGACAAGCTGGCGTACCCAACAAATATCCGATATCAAAAAAAATCAAGAAAAGAAGCAAGGAGGAAAAAATCGAAGACCGAAAATAAGGAAAGGAAACACGTACGAGTTGAGCAGACATAGTTGAGGACAGGGTTCGCCCTGATCTTAGCATTGACAGCCTTCACGAATGCAGCCATGGTTGTGGTTGTGTTGTTGTGACGGGACAAAAAAATGCCAATTGTCGATAAGGGCGATGGATGTTGAGATGAAGTCCTGGTTTGTTCGGATGTTGAGAATGAAGTTTATTATCTCCGGAACCAGACCATTTTTGGGAAGGCATGCAGGGGACCTGTAGAATCACGTGATCACGATCTAAGCTACTATGACTCAATATCTCCCAAAGCTCTGAGCATAATGCATGATGCTTGGCAAAGCTTGTGAAAGGAAGGAACGCTGAAGACTACAACCCTTGGATAATTCTTTATGCAAAGTCACTGAATTGATAAGTGTGCCTTTGTACTTGTCTTGTTCTCTATTTTCATACAGCCTTTGAAGAAGCTGGTGAAGAAAGCAACCATGTAGAAAACTCAAAAATGTCGCTTGATGCAAATTTATATACTCCATGGCTAGATGTCTTTGATGATCCCAACTCCAGACTTCTTTCAGCGCCTTGCCTGGGACTAACATAAAAGCAGCTTCGGTCGCCATCTTTCCTAGAACTTCTCCCAGTCTCTCCCGCTCCTCATCTCCTTTCTTATATATATTAAAACTCGTCCTCTACTGAGCTCTCTCATGGGCGAGGACCAGGGGGACGAGTGATGGTAGCTGCGAGGGGGGCATTGTCGCCCACCAAGCCGTCCTTGGCAGCGTCAGCCCGAAGGTTAGACCTGCCCTTGCGCCTCCTCAGGCCCTCGGCACACGGGGGTTTAGGTTCCACGACTATCCTGACCTGGATCTGCGGCCGCTGCGTCTCGGCGGCCCTACGAGGAACAGGCTTTCTGGGAATAGTGTGAGAATTGGCTGCTCTAGCACGAATAGTATCCTTCGATACCGGGGGCCTCGCAGAGGGTGTTGTCGTCGTCTTCCCGCTCGAATCAGCCGCTCTAAATCGAACAGTTTGCGGCATGTTTTGGGCTGGGGGATTGGCGCCACCCGCCCGAGACGCGTTCGGTATTTGCAACGGCTTCCTTCGAGTGTTTGCCGTGCCGGATTCACCCCCAGAAATATCCCTGGAGTGGTGTGCGCGAGTAGCAGCGGCGTTGGGCGTTACCTCCGCTACCATTTCAAAGAATAATTCATCCTTGTCCAGGGCGCTCCGAGTTCCGCACTTGACTTCCATGGGCGGCATCAGCATCGCGCGTACAAAGGATGGTGTCTGGCGCTGTTGTTGAAGCGCGCCACCCGCCTCGTTTCCGGGCCGTGTCTGTCCTTGTGTTAGCCTATCGTTCGTGGCACTCGCTGACCGAGCCCCCGGTACTACCCATGCGTCGCGGGTGGGTTGGCGATGACGACGATGTCGCCCTACCACCTGGGGAGGATTTTGCACGGCAACTTGTCTAACCATCGCCACCTCCCTCGTCGACAAAGGATACCACCTTCTCCTCCACTGGCGTTGGGTCCGGAACAAGGTTTTGCGGAAACGAATAGCTCTTTTCCCCACCCCCTCAACCCGCGCAAACGTGAGGCTCTTGCCGAAGGAGTTCCAAATTCTTCGCCTCCGCGCCGCCTCCGCTACTTCGTCGTCGCCCTCCGAGTCCGTCTCTAGGCCCTGCAGAGCACAAGTCGGACATACGTGGCGGATGTATTCGGTTGTGACGACGGTCTTGCAAAGCTTGAAGGCTTCGAAGAGAGGGGGTTCCCAGTACTTGCACCAGGTCTGAACGATGTGTTTGTGGTTACAGTCGAAGGTTATCGTATGCTCGAAACACATGCTTGCTCGGGTTTCGTCGCGTATCCAGGCTTTCCGGTTCTGAAAGATGGATTCTGATCGGGTTGCGGTGTTCGACTTCAGAGGTTGGATTCGGTTCGGTATGCCTAAAGCTGGTGTCTTCCTCGCGAATCTCGAAGTTTGAGGCGAACAGAAAAAATAAGGTAGGTAGATATGTCTCTCTAAGCTTAGTGGATTTCGAGTCGTATGTCTTTTGATTGCAGTATCCGATCGGGCAAGTTGAATATCAAGAATGATAAAAGATATTTTGGGAACAAAGTAGGTTGAAACGACAGTGATCCGGGATATAAATATTTGGACGGGTATAGAGAGGCACGAATACAAATAAGTCTCTTGCTGGATTTTGCTCTGCTTCTTTGTTCTTGGACGAGTCCGAGGCTCTGGCACGCAGGTCAAAGAGCCTGCCCGGCCCAGTGCCTTTGTCCAGAGAGATGAACAGGACTAGATTGATTAGCAAACAAGCACCTATTTATACTTGAGATAAGAGCCATGAAGCCAGGGTAGGAGGCAATACTGGAGCTATGAGGCATTGAATCCTGGTCTCTTCAGCTCCAGCGTGAGGGAGGACTGGTGCCTTCAGCTTCTGAAAGTGTAACAAATCTGAAGCCCAGTTACTAGGAATGGTTTGCTTCCCCTACCATGTAGTTACACTAGTGTAAAGAAATTGAAGAGGAAGCTCACTGAATTTGTCTTTCATATCCACCTGAGCAGTGCAGTTCATTGAGAAGAATCAGAAATAAACTTGCAACCATCATTCATGTTTCATGTGAACTGAAACCTTCACACCACCCTCTGAAGACAACCATGTGTATATCGAAAATCAAGCGACACAAATGCATCATGCCCTGCCTTCCAAAAACGCCTTGCACTGCAAGAAATAAAGCAAACCCTTCTTATCACTGCTCAATCACACCCTGCCAAGTTCTTTCTTATGCTAGATATCGGTAGGTGGGGGTTGATGCATCTTCGACACGCTCAAGGTAGTCTCGTGCAATGAGATCTTCAATACGCCTTTTAATCATAGGCAACTCAGGCTTAAATCTGCCAACAAGTTGATCAAGGACCTCGGTGATGAGTTGAGTGTGCATAAGCTGCTTTCGTTGCCTGATTTTTTTTTTAAGATGTTTTGTTAGCCAACCATAATAACATTTTGCCTCCTTTGTGGAGATACTACGGAAATGAATGCAAAACTTACTTCATGATTCGGACAATGGCAGCATCGATCAAATGTGATCTAGTTTGGTCCGCCTTAGCAGCTGTCACCTTCCTCTCCTCATCACCCTCGACCTTCGAAACCGATGTTATCGTGGGAGCCTTGATTTTGATTGTCTTGCTAGCGAATGCGTTGTTGAACTTGAACCTGTCTCCGGGCTTGACAACCTTGTTCTGAGGGTCTTTAGCAAGGACTCGGCACTTCGGAGCGACAGCGAGCGCCATCAGCGTTCTTGTGAGGTCAGGTGCGGGTATGTTTGTCTTGGCCTGAATCTCCTCAAACGACAGAGATTCGTCGTCATCCATCTCATTGAAGAGCAGAAGGACAACCATGCCGTAGGTAGGAGCGCTGACTTCGTAACGCCTCTCGCGCGCCAGAACGCCTGATTTACCTGGAACAGGTGGGAATGTGCACCTAATATCCGCCGAACCAAGTGTGCCGACCCAGGTAAGCTTCCTTCCGACGCGATTCTGGAGATAGTGTTGTTTGATGCTATCATGTAATTTCCTAATCTCCTCCGGGTAAGTGCATGGCGCGACGTCGCCATATCCGATCTGTGACGAACGGCCCATTACCTCTGCGGGCCAATTGTTCGTCGTAAGAATGCTGATGGAGACGTCAATCGCGCCAGCATCGCCCGTCACCAAGCGCATCTGTTCGCGGTAGTTGGCGGTAAACTCGGCCGACGTGTCCAAGTCTCGAAGCATGCCCTCAAACTTGAAGGCAAATTGATTTCCAAACTCTTGCTTCATACGTAGGATGAGCTGCTTCTCTACTTCGTGGCTGCCCGACTTGGAATGGAGGAGGCGGCGTGCCAAATGGCGTTGGTAGTAACGCTCGAACATGTCCATGTCATTGAGGTAGCACATAAGGGCAATGGCCTTTTCCAAGATGACGTCGATCTCTGCTTCCGTCTTATCGCGGATGCCCCGTCGCAAACTGTCGTCGATAAAAAGTGACACAAACTCAGACGAGCGATCGAAGGAGTTGATAAAAGAGGAGAAGCTCTTGGTGATGGCAGTCTGGATAGAGAGGTCTTTCTTGAAGCATTCGGACCAGATTCTATCGAACTTATCCTTTAGGCTCAACACATCATCAACCCATTTGATAGCCGCCGCTGTCTGCTGGGCAGCAGCGGTGAGTTGGGAAGGCTTGGTCCGGCCGCCGGCCTCGTTTTTGCCAGCGGCTTCGTCGTTCTTGTCAGCCTCTTCGGGCGCAGAGGCCGCAGGAGTCGAGAAATCAGTGGCTTGCAAAACTCTTTGGATCTCTCTTCCTAATTCAATAACATGGCTCTCCAGAACTCTCGTAACCTTGCCCTTTGCTGTAGGATCGAGGCTTACGAGGGAATACAATGTCGAGAGTTCTTCGAGTTTTCCACTGTCAACGAGCCACTTGAGGCCAGTATCCAGAGCCAAGAATTCATCGAGGTGCTTATGGACCATCTCTTCTTCCACAAGTGAGACAAGCCTGCCACGACTTTCGGCGAGAATCGTGGTGCCACATCTATCACTCTCCTCATTGAGTCTGTCGGGAGTATGTCGGATCCAGGCAGTGCAATCGCCTTGGCCGAGGAGCCTCTGGGCCTCGTTCGCGTAGAAGTCCCTGGTGACTCTCAGAAATTCCGGTTCGAAACGCGTCAGATACAACCTCTCAAGTCTCGCCTCTTGATCGGTCTCGTAAAGCCCATCAAGGAGTCCAATGCAATTCCTGATAAGTCCACGGTCGACGATGTCTCCGGCTCGCTCCATCTCGATCTGGTCAATGAGAACAGTGACTAGAAGATCTATAAGGGGTACTCCATTGATCTCGGCCTTCAATACGTCGTCACGGTAAAGTCCAATGGTCGTCGTGAAAATGGATGGGTGTTTAGCAACTTCCGTGCAACTCTTGTCCATATACATCAAAATATCGGCGATCATGTTCATGGACGTCTCATGGTCCACCCAGGTATCTCGTAAGGACCGAAGGAGCTTCTGACCCAGTTGACGTCGCTCGTTGGCCGAGGTGGTTGCAGATTCAAGGGTAGCAACGAATTCGGGTGTGATGAAGTCGAGTAGCTTGGCCATGACATTCTCTCGAAGCCATTTCCTCTCAAAGTCTTTGATGCGTTCATATAGTTCAGGGCCCTTCTTCAGAATAACCACCTTATAGCCGACACGATATAGCTGTTCATACTGCCAATTCGAAGCGTTCATGTTGTGGATGTCGGTCATTGCGTCGCGAAGTGTATCCCAGCTCGATTCGAAGTAGTCCTTTTCACCCTGCTGACCTGACCCAGGCTGAATATTAAGTTAGCATCTCGCTCGATGTCCATGGTTGTCATGGGTTAAGCTAGCACTTAGAGGGGAGCTGTGAAGGTTCATACCCGCATCACGCGGCGAGGGGGTCGAGGGGGTCTGATTTTCCCCCTCGCACCTCCCCGACCAGAAATCATCGCTCAGATTTCGAAATGCGCTGATAGAGGTAGGGTTGGGGGTCGTGGGAGCCGTGGGGTGGAGGAGGTGGAACGCCGCAACGGGACGTCAGGCGAAATATAAACACCTCCAGATAGGTCGAGGCAATGTTCCTTGTCCAAAGCAATGTATTCGGTTTTATCGGGTTTCCTGAATCACCTAGGGATGGCAGATGCTGTTTAGTGCTGGCATGAAACGTGGGTGCTTGCTTTGGTTGTCTGAGAAGACCTGGGCGCTGGGTGGGAGGAAGGAAGGTAGGTAGCTAGGAGGCGGTTCCAACGAACCAAGCGAAACCATTGATACTTTTTAGATTGTGAAAGGGTTAAAGATTGATAGCGCTCGGATTTTCCAAAGGAGCGAAGCAGTTACACTAGAACAAAAGCCCCGTGAGCTCCAAGCCAAATGGCATGGGAAATAACGGAAAGAGCAGGATGTTTTTAAGAGAAAGAAGCCATGGATGTGAGGTTCGAGGGTTGGGTCGGGCCTGCCTATGGACTGGTATAGTCCCAGAGATGTATTACTTGTACTTCGTAGTGGGTATTGGATCACCAATTGAGGAGGGGTTTATCGATAAGGCGCGTTTTAAAGGCGGCTGTCACGGAGTTTGGCACCTGTCGGCAGCTGCTATAGAAAATAAGCTAGAGACGTCATAACCTGACGCGCTGGGCGAAGAAAAAAAGTCGCATTAGTGTACGAAGTATACCTTCTTCATCTCAGAGCAACTGTAACGAGAGATTCTGTTCACATCTTCCTCAACTCTCCCTTACGTTCCGTCTACGCCCTCCGTCCAACTACTCTAAGCTCAGTCTTGTATAATCGCGTATCCACCATGGCCTCTAGGTTCTCACCTCTACTGCGCCTTATGCGCCCGACAACCACACCTCTGCGACTCCGTCGCCTCCCTGCGCCCGTCCACAACCGACGAGCCATTCCCATCCGCTTCGCGCATTCTATTCCCCGACCGCCACCTCGAACCGCTCCTCCCGCAAATGACTTCTCCACCTCCTCTGAAACCTCCACCGAAGAAGGTTCCTCCGAAACGCCTCCATCCAAAACCTACGCCGCGCCACCGCCCGCCCCCAACTCCTACCAGCTCTCTTTCACCTGCCTCCCCTGCGGCGCCCGCTCCACGCACAACGTCTCCAAGCAAGGCTACCACCACGGCTCCGTCCTAGCCACCTGTCCCGAATGTCGCAACCGTCATGTCATCAGCGACCACCTCGATATCTTTGGTGACAGGAAGATCACCGTCGAGGAACTCGTTCGCGAGAGGGGGGGCATCGTTAGGAAGGGCACGCTCGGCGAGGATGGCGATATTGAGTTCTGGGCAGATGATGGGAGTGCTGAGCCTACCAATTGAGTTGTGGAGGAAGGATTGAGCGCATGAATGAATATCTGGGACTTTTTGGCGTTTACGACACTGTAAATTTTTGCGAGGACTTCGCTGTTTGGCACGCATGGCCGGAGTTTGGATTGGACACTACTCAACACCTTTTGTACACTATCTAGAGAGAAATGATATACCCGAGAAGAGGCCAATTTGTAGAATAACCATAATTATTCTGGTTTTTGTTTCCTTTTCACTTTCTTTCTTTCCTTTCTCCCTTTCTCTTAGGCAAAACGCTGTGCGATATTTTTGATTCTCTACTTCGTATCTTGTTTTCAAACACATTGTCTGCAGGTAGGATAATCGATGAAAAATTTCCGGAATAACCAGCGTATACCCAAGCAAACCAAAAAAAGCACCCAATGAAACTGGAAAAAGAAAATGATACACCGTCCATGCCTTAGACGCGAATAAGTCCTTACCACCCCTTGTAAGCCTGTCTCATAGCCTTATGCTCACGGCCCTTAACCTTCCTCCTCTCCTTCTTCTTCTCAAACTTCTTGCGCTTCTCGCGACCAAACTTCTCCGGATACGCAACCGCCTCAATCTTCCGCTTCGCCGAGCGCTGCTCTCGCTTCTTCTTCACCCCTTCGCGAATCTCCAACAGGTACTTGCTGTACTCGGCCGTTCCGAGCTTCTTCTGCAGAGAATCCATGAGGATCTGAGCCCGCACTTTTAGACCTTCGTACTTGGTCTTAAATAGTTCGTCGGTTGACGATGGGGTGGGTATGTGCTTGTCCGTGAGGTGGTGTAGCGGGAAGAGTATTGTCTTGACGGAGCCGCGCACCCGATCGATGTTCATGCGGCGGCAGAGAGTCTCCAGCACCTCCATGGCAGTGACCTTGGCATTGACAGCCTCCGACTTAGGAGCGCCTTGCTTCCTGAGAATGTAAGAGAGTTTCCAGAACAGGAAATGCAAGTCCTTTCTCCGCCGGCTCGGTGCCGCGGCGGACTCTTCTCCTTCTTCGCCACCCTCTACCTCGCCACCCTCTTCTTCTTCTTCTTCCTCTTCATCTTCATCCTCTTCAGAGTCCGGGGCGGCGTCGTCCGTTACATTCTCTGGAAGGTGTGGGCCGAGGAAGATCAGGATTTGGCCAGTCTCCGTCGCCAGTTCCTCAGCAACTATTGGTGTACTCAGAATCCTAATGCCCAGACCCACAAGGTCCTCGATATCCGCACTCTTGAGCTCAGCCCCATACTTGCTCGCCAGAACCGTGCCGTTATCGGTATCTCGGCTATTACCCGCGAAATGGAGTAGGTATGAAGTCGTCAATCTAACAGCATTGAGCCTTACAGTATTGTCGCGGTGTACCATGCACTGGCGAATAAGACACCAGAGCTCTTCAGAATCAGGCGTGAACAGAGTGGTAGCGAATTTCTCTGCCACAACGCGCACGGCATCAATGGTCGAGTTGATACTATCCGCATCCAATTCCTCAGTCTTCTCAGAGCGAAGGATACCTAAAACATGATCTAGAAGCAGCCGAAGATCCTTCTCGTTCTTCGTGGCCCGGTCGCTAGAGTCAAAGTAAAATGCCAGGATTTTGAGGGCAAGCATAGATACGGCTGGATTCTCCTCGTTGCTGAGCCACGAACGGAGAAGAGTCAAGAACTTCTGCGTCTGCTCCTTGTCGGCCTTCTTAAAGATCTGTTTAATCAGCTCTCCTCCGGCAAGTCGGCATTTCTCACTATCGTCATTGGCAACGACAAAGACGAGCGGTAGGAAGCAAGCAGATGCGATCTGTTGGACGAAGTCTTCTGCAGACTTGAGCAAAAGTAGATGAATCACTTCCATGACAGAAAGACGACCGCCTTCTCTGTCATACTTGAGATTGGCAATGATGAAGTTCATCTGCTTCGACCATCGGGCCTTTTTCTGAGGATAGTCACGAAGGAATTGGAAGAAGGCGCCTCTGGCAAGATCTCTCGTCTCTTTGTCATCATTGGTGATCATGACGGTGCCGACGTAGTCTAGAATATCGTATACTGCCGCCGTCTCAATCTTGCGGTCGAGAACGCACCTGAGGAAGTTGAAAGTGACGGAGCGATATTGCGGATCCGTAAGATCATCTTTGAGCTTGCCAACCAGCATATCAACGGCTGCATCCTTCACCGTGACATCTTTTCTATCTCGAAGGACAACGGAAATCAATTTGAGGGCCGCCTGAGAAAGCTCTGAAGTGGTGGATGATGACATCCCGATGCTCTTGGTGGCTTCCTTCACGGCGACCTTGTACAAGCCGGCAGTATCGGAATTTGGGAAGGGAACCTTGGCAATGATATTAAGAAGTTTGAAAGTCGACATCTTGACCTCAGCCTCGCCATCCATAGCGGCATCTCCCAAGATGGGAATGAACCCTGTAATATTCGCTGCATTGCGTAGGTTGTCGTGTTTCTTCCAGACCGCCCGTAGGATGTCGAGAGCAAAGCGCACCAGCTTGTAAGTGTGTTTACTGGTGATAGAACGCTCGCCACTCTTCTTTCCGTGCTTCTGGACGAGGTACCTCCTCACCCGAGGGTCGACCTTTGGCTGTTCGACTGCGGTTTCTGCTTTGTATACTTCCTGGATGACTTCATAACAGAAAACTAGCGTGTCACGTCTCTCTGCGGCCGGATTATGGAGCAGCCCGGAAGTGATCCTTGACAGCAATGAGTCAATCTTGCGAACCATCCGGAGATCAACTTTTTGAAGCAGAAGAGCCTGAAGCGGTCGTATTAGATCGACTAGGTGCGTTATGGAGGCGGTCTTCGCAATCAACTCCAGTGAATCTTGGCTCTTGCTACTTTTAATTTCCTTCATCTGGGTGGTGTAGCCTTCGGCGTCCTTCTCTTGACCGGTAACACCAAAGATATCGTCCATGATGACCGTCACAATGGACGCTAAGCAGTAGTCGAGGCTTCCCTGTCCAAATTCAGGGATGACAGCCAACAGAATCGAGTGCATAGTGTAGGATAGAACGTGGAGCTGGTAGCCTCTCGTGAGGGCACCTCGGAGCTCCTTGAGAACAAACCCAAAGTATTCAGGGCCAAGAATGAGCGCAATTTTTACCAATGTGTCTCTCGCCATGTCTCTCGACTCGTCGGCCTTACTTCGCAAGATGTGGCTAATGTCGGTAAGGACGGCAGCAAGCCGTAGGTCCATTTCGTCAGGAGGAAGTAGCTTAAGCAATTTGACGATGATGACACCAACAGGGACACGATAGCTGACTTCGGACTCATCCTTTTCGTGTAGGTGCTTCAAGAGGGGGGGTAAGTAATTTTGGATAATGTCGGATGTAAACTTCTCGCCCTTTGGAATCGTTTCACCCAGTCTTCTAGACGTCTTGCTAGCAGCCTCTTGGGGTTTGTCCACGTCCATCGCATCAGCCGATGTCGGCTCATAGGCGGCTAGGAGAGGGTCAACAAAACGGCCTAGAAGGCGAATCAACGCCTTCTGGTGCTCTGGCTTCGACGAGATGTAGCTAATGTAACGCTGCAAGATAGATCGGCAGTGCTTCCAATCCAACGACGAAGCCAAGTCACCAATGACAATGGTAGCCTGCGCACCGAGTCCGTGATCGTCACTGCCTTCTTCGCGGCCGAAGATGAAGTGCTCCAAAAGAGGAATGAAGAAATGGGCTATATTCTGACTCGCCATTTCACTCTTGCTATTGGCCTGCTGCAAGATTTGCAAAGCTTCTAATTGCCGTGAGGTAGCGGGACTCAGAATGTTGAAGAAGAATTGAGGCTCAGACGACTCTTCATCGGTCTCGTCGAGTAATGCCGACAGGTCGGAGACGGAAGACCATTTCGCCATGCGGGATACTAGGCGACCCATCACACGAAGATACTCGCGCCGTATGGCACCGGATGGCTCTCGCGCACCGCTGTACATGGCCGGAAGAAGAACGCTCTTCAATTGCTTCTCAAAGACACCTCGCATAGTTTCATCCGTGCATGCGGCGGCATCGTCGATGTATTGACGCATCGCGTCGGCCGAGTTGGATGATAAAATGTTGAATTCTTCATCGAGTCGGATGTAAAACAGCAGATTGTGCAATATGGCAAGCCATTGGTGCGCCGCTAGGGGTTGTTCCCTTGGCTTGGACAGGGAGTTCAGAACCGCAAGGCGCCTATCGTAATCCGGCTCATCAATGCGCCCTTCAACGAACGAGTTAAGCTCTCGGCAGAACTCGGCAGACTCTTGAAGAGAGGGATCTTTGCTAGCGAGCACTAAATAAACACGGCATAGCGATTCTCTGTTCTCCCTGTCCTTGAAGTAACTGAAGAGCGACGCGATTGACTCGTGGATCTTCTCGAGAAGTTCCGGCTTGGCCGACGGATTTGGTAATGGCTCCTGGAATGTCACGAAACGTTCGAGGACGAGGATGATCCGGCCTTTAGTCTTCGGGCTGACCCGGCGAGGCGGTTGAGCAAGGAACCTCGTCGCCAGTTCGAGGACACCCTGTACATTCTGGGAGTTATCAACAATGGGCGATATCTCAATGATCGCCTCAACGCAGTTTTCTAGAAGATCGTTCCCTAGATTTGGCGTCTCGAGCAGGTTTGTGACGTTGGTCAAGAGTCTGTCCAGGACAGGTTTCAAGAGTTCATCTTGAATAAGCCCGTTGTTGATAGATTCCGCTGCTGGTGCCACAGCAAGAGAAATCAGGTTCCTGATAATGCCCAGAACAAAGACTTTGACCTCAGGCTTTCCCTTCTCCACCGCCAAGCATTCGACAAGCTGTGGTACAATCCTGTCGTCAATGGACAGGAATATCGACTCTTGCGGAAGGGCCGACAAGGTAGAGAGGAGTTGCAACATTCCGGATACGCCTTGCGCAGATTCAACAGGCAACTTATCAATCCGCGGACTAATAATCTCCTTGACGATGAGATCTCCGTACGGTGTCCAATCGAACGAAGCGGCGTTTCGTAAAAGTGCAATGAGACACTTCAACGCAGTAGTCCTTGCAACCCGGAGAAGGGATACATTGCTGGGTTGGTCTTCACCATCATCCGGGCTATCATCCTTATCGTCCTGGCTAGATTCCTGGAGTTGGCGAGCCGAGTAGACCAAGCAATAAAGGATGGGATTTAGTAGGGTGTCCATATAGGGTAAGACTCCTGCGCCCATTTCAGAGACGAAAGAGCCCATCATATTCAGGAAACCAACTTGGCGTCTAATAGGGACAACTTCTAGCTCGACGTCGGTTGTCGTCTTTCCACAGGCATCGATGACCTTGACTTGGCCGAGCCCGCCAACTGCAATGTCAAGGAACTGGCCCAAATCCTCGACATCGAGATTGCGAAGGACCGCAAGCCTAGTGGCATCAAGTCCATGGCGACCACTGGCCCCTCCCTTCTTCGAAATCGATCGGCCGTATAGCAGTCGCAAAAGGATGGGTATCACTTCCACACGATGTTCAGGTTGAATGCGCTGTTCATCCCCTTGGAAGAGCAACGTAAGCTCATCCTTAAAACGACTCTCTTCCAGGAGATGTTCGAGACTCTCCTGATAAGGCTTTACACCGTCCTGTTTCCATGTGAAGATGGCCTTCAACGCAAGTCTTTGTACCTCCACATCTCCGTTTTCCATCTGCTTTAGGAGAGACTTGTAAACCAATTCATGGTTGTAAAGGACCTTAGGGTTCACAAATTGGCCAAAAACTCCAAGCATTGCCTTCCTATCGGCCAACGACCACCCTTTGCCTCCTTGAGATTCTTCTTCCTCCTCATCCGGGGTTTCAGAAGTCTCTTCGCCAGCAGCGGCCCATCCCAGGAAGGACGGTACAAACATGCGCGACCTCTTTTCAGCCAGTCTTGGGATAGCGGTCAAAAGTTTCAAAGCCTGTGCCCGAGCATTTGGAGAATGGGGCTCGACCGTATATTGCTGGTCATCAAAGGATTTCAGAGTTTTATCGAGCGGGTTATCGATAATGTCATAAAATTCCTCGGATAATGCTTCTAGCCCTTGAACGTTCTTGCACTCGAAATCGGAGACAAATTTGCGAGAGCTGCTATTGTTGAGTTGTTGTGGACCGGCCCATCTCGGAGAAGGCACACCGAGCCACTGGAAGGCTAGGTCGGAAACAGCATCCTCGCCGGTCTTTGTTTGGCAGACCAGTTGTAATGCTTCCACAGCACCATCCCAGATTGGAGCCATCTTCACGTTGAACATTCCAAACAAGAATGAGGTTATGGCAAGAGCTGTCAAGGAATCCGAGGCCAACGAGGAATAGGACTGGCCAAGTTTCCGCAAGTACATGGTGATTTTCCGACAGTTAGCAAGTTCAACAGGGGTGTCTTCTATCTCGAGCATAGTTTCAATAACACCATCAGGCTGAGTATTTTGACCGTCCAGCTCGGCGAGCACCTTCAGAGAGACTTGCCGAAGTTCATGGGACGGGCTAGCCAGGTTTTCAATGAGGGACTTAGTGACGGCGTCATTATCGAAAGACTGCGAGTCATCGCTACCTGCGTCCTGAGCCCCCTTTTTTAACTTCTTCGAGTGCTGAATATAAGTCATATAAGATTCTAGAAATCCTACAGACCGACAGAATCTGGGTACCGCAGCTCGTAGAAGAGGGCTTAGACTATCGTCGACACTTCCGGCTGCTGCGCTCATACGAAGATAGGCATGGAGCCCTTGGCTGACTATAAAGTGAACCTCATCCGAAGCCAGAGTGGAGGACGGCCGTAAAGCTAACTTCAGTTTCCTAAGCAAAAGTTCCGCGATCCTGGCGTTTGTGGAAGGGTGCACTCCGGCAGATTCCAAAACTTTCAGAAGGGCTGCGTACTTTGGCAGGCATCGGTCTCGCCAGGTCTGAGGATCTTTGTCGTATACTCCGCGCTCGGGGAAAGGAGACACCTCAAGCCTTTCGAACTTTGAGACGATGTGATCCTGCCATTGCCGGGGTAAATTGAACACCTCTTTATCGCCGGCCGACGGGATGGCATTGCAGCGTGCCATGCGGCTAATGTAAATGCACAGCAAGTCCTCGTTTCCATTGTCAGACCAGTTGCTCACAATAAACCTGAGCCTCTTAGTTAGTATGACCACCAGTATTGAAAAGTTGGAAAAGGGGATACTAACGCTTGGAAACTTCCCAGGAAGAGACTTCTAAACCTCACGGGGTCGAGGTCCGCGAAATATGCGCAGAATGGTATGTACCAGCCTCGGAATGGATCTCTGGTGAGGATAGTAGAGAAGGAAAGAATTGAAGGAGTAAGCGCGTGGATAGGCGCGTATACCCAGACCGTGGCTATGTTCACCATGACGTGTCTCCAAAACTGATGCTTGATCTGAGCCGACCCTGAGTCCTGCCACTTGGTGGCGATGGCCAAGAGGTCCATGAGAGACTGGACCAAAACCTCCCAGTCATTTACACGAGAACCCTTTCGCACACCGGAAAGCGTGCCTATTACTCTGATTAGAGGCACGCTAGGATATTCAACATCTGCATTATCATTATTAACCGTAGTCCCGGAGGGTTTTGCGAGATCAAATAAGACCTGTGAGATTGGCTCGAGGTTGGTGGCATTAGAGTGATGGATTAGGCTGGTAAGTACACCACAGGTGACGTTGGTCCATATCGGAGGGTCGGTGAGGTTGGAATCTTGAGGCGGAATAGAATGTAAAAGAGCTGTGAAAGTGGCGGGGCCGGTAGAATGTATGGTATCACCAGATCCTTTGATGGCCTCAGCATACATTGTCATTAATCCATCCTGGAAAAGCTCGAACTGGCGGGATTCGTAGGCCCTGTAAAGATCCTGTCTAGTATGCTCGACTATAAGGGGAAGAGCCGTTCGCCGATGATTTGGGGCGGCGGCTTTCTTGATGAGGAAGCTCATCGCCTCGGCAGCGAATCGAGCAATATGAGGCGGGCGCTTGGCCTTTCCCAGGAGGGGGGAAATGACATCGTAGGTCGGCCGGAGGTCTGGGGTCAAGAGTTTGTATAAGCGCTTGAACAAGAAGGCCAGAGACGTAAATGTCCACTCGATGACCTCGACAGGCTGAGATTTGCTTGCGATATCGACTATAAGCTGAAGCGCGAGAGGATAATGCTTCTCGAAACGCGGGCCGAGGTCCCTTGCGAAAGCTGTAAGGAGATCGAGGAGCGGTTCTAAACTTTCTTTGTCTTGTTCGGAAATATACTGGACGAAGAGTTGCATAATGCGATCCTCGAAATGCAGAATCTGAGGCAGGCTCTCGGACAGAGGAAGAGCCTCCCTCTTAAAACCGACAAAGCCCTTGGATATATTGAGCTCATTCCACCTTTGAAGTCCATTGTTGAAGTATGAGGTTGTCGTCGAGAGATCTTCGGCTTCGAGATCGTGCCGGCGAACTTTCTTCAAGGGATCGAGGGTATGGAGTTTCGAGATCTTCGAATTGAACGACTCCCATCGGTGATTCTTGTGTGGTGCCGCATCTTTGACGCCTCGTCTAGCCTTTGAAATACGGCCAGAAGACACGGCAGGCATCTTGATTCAGGGTGCACTCTCCTCACAGAGCTCGGGCAAGTTCTGTGGGTAGGGCGGTTTTTTTTTTGGTAATTTTTTTCTTTGGGATCTTGTCTCCAAGTTCACAGTCCATCTTCTCAGAAGTGCCCCTCCAAAATTTCTGAGTTTCCAAAAAATTTCGGCGGCTGATCATCGGCAAAGCCGATAAGATAACATTCCTATCTCTTATCGGACCAATCATAGGCATGATAGCCCTTTCTCAATTGAGAATTTAAGCTAACGCCACAGATGCATGGGCAAGAGCGACGGACCTAGCTTCCAGGCTTGAACCAACATCATCCCGCCGCCGCTCTAACCTCCATATCCCTCCTCCTATATCTCACCTCGTCACGATCCTTCACACTCACCCCCAAAGAAGGATGCCAAAATGGATCCACCAAAAATGTAGGTCATTCCTAAACTTCCATAAGACTGCCTGTCTTTCCGAAAAATTAACTTAAATTCATATTAGCCTCGTCCTTGGAAGTGTGAGTGGACAGCTCAAAGCTGCCTTTGGCAAGGTGGCTGCTCTACAGGCGAAAAACAACTTCGCTCTACTCCTCATCACCGGGAACCTATTCAGCGAATCCGGCGACGATGATGTGGTAACGGCGCTTCTCAACGGAGAAATCACTGTCCCCTTACCTACATACTTTACCGTCGCGACAAATGCCCTCCCATCACGAATATGCGAAAAGGTCGCGGCGGACGAAGAAATTTGCGAGAACCTTCATTTTCTAGGAAAGCGCAGTGTAACCAATACATCTGAGGGTATTCGCATCGTTACCCTCGGTGGTATCCTAGACGAGACGATTGTCGCGGGGCTCTCGACCGAGCAATACCTACCCCTCCACACATCGCAGGATGCGACTAGCCTAAAGGGCGCGCAGTCCGCGGATATCCTTTTGACCACTATGTGGCCCAATGATGTTACGAAAGGTTCAAAGGTCCCACTGGCATCTGGCTACACGCCTGGGCGAGGCTCGGACGAGATTGCTGCGCTTTGCGCAGCTCTCAAGCCGAGGTATCATTTCACGACTTCACCAGACGCATTCTTCTGGGAGAGAGAGCCCTTCATGCATGAACCGCAAGACGAGTCTGGGAAATCCGGAAAACCAAAGTTCACGCGATTCATAAGCATGGCGCCTTTTGGCAACGATAAGAAGGCGAAAGCGCTTTACGCGTTCTCGCTGCCCAAGGTCGACACAGTGGTCGAGATTCCTCCGGGCACGACAGCTTCACCTTTTGCTCATCATATCCGAGCTTCAAGGAAGCGCCCGCATGAGAGCACATACAGCCGGTTTCAACATGATGAGAGGGAGCATGGATACAGCAAACACAGACGGCGGCGATCGCCGCCTCCCGGACCAGACAAATGCTTCTTCTGTCTATCCAACCCAAATCTTTCATCCCATATGTGTTGCGCGATCGGTGACGAGAGCTACCTCGCGACGGCGAAGGGACCGCTGCCGGCTCCGGATACGTTTGCCAAAGAGGGTCTTGACTTTCCCGGCCATTTCATCATCATCCCGCTTTCACATGCGCCAACGACCATTTCTATGGGCGACGTGTTGGATCCAGAGAGCACCTCCGTTAAGACATATAAGGAGATGACACGGTTCCAGGAGTCGCTCCAGGCAATGTTGGCAAAGGCTTCTAACTTCAAACTTGGGGCGGTGACATGGGAGATATCTAGGAGCCGTAGTATCCATCTACATTGGCAGCTCCTCGCCACACCAGCGGATCTGATCCGGAAGGGCCTAGTCGAAGCGGCCTTCAAAGTTGAAGCAGAGAATCAATCATATCCACATTTCCAAACCACTGACCTAACCCTAGAGAAGCAAGTTGAGTTTGGAGACTACTTCCGGGTCTGGATATGGGCGGATGACGGCGACTCAAAAATTAAGGGTAAGAGTCTCGTCATGCCGCTCGATCCAGAATTCCGTTTTGATGTGCAATTCGGCCGACGGGTAATGGGTAAACTGCTCGGCCTTGAAAGTCGGCTCGTCTGGCAGAACTGCGTCCAGGATGAAGAGGAGGAGACAAATGATGTGGCGGCATTTAGGGCGGCCTTTAAGGAGTGGGATTTCACATGATGCAACAGTGTTCCTTTGGACACCTCATCTGTACATTAAATATATAGATTCCTTATCTGGATATAGAGCCGGCGAAGAGGCGTACCGGGCTTTTCAGGAGAACTCAGAAGGCCGTGGCGGCTACTGCTGCAGAGCGAGGAGCTTGAGAAAGCTTAACATTCATAGATCTGGCGACTAATATTGAGATACGCTTGAAGACGGTTCAACTCTCACGTAGCCTTATGACATAACAGTTAAATTTGAAAACCAATGAATATCAATTGATGTCTTTACCAAAACGAGGCCTTTACAGGCTCTGATTACTGTGCCCGACTTGCCAGCCCTGGCCATGTCCGAAAGTGAATGCCACTTGGCATAAAAGCCCATCGAACTGGTCACGATCTATCTGTACCGCTTCGCTTGATACGCGCCTCGAACATCTATCTCCAAATCAGACTCAAGGTGTGGTAGTACAGGCCGAAACTCGCTCGGCGTAGTGCAAATTTCCATTTCCATTTGCACCTACATATGTTACGTGCCCCGAACTACGTGGGAGCATTTTACTCGCCTCATCTAGCACGTTCTACCACATGGTTCAAGGCTTGGTGGACAACATCAAGCAGGCTTCAGTCAGCTTCGTAAAATTATATATTCTTTATCACCCCCGGAACCTTCCTCTGCTCTGATTTTCGATCATTCCTTAGTAAATAACTCCCATTTCCTTACCCCTACTATATTGGTTCCCTCCCAAATCATAACTAAGCCGCAACATGTCCCCTCAAGAGGAAGTTGTCTTATACCGCGGCCAGCCTAACATTCCCGCATACCTGCCTCCGCCCGGGGACTACCAGTGCCAGGCTTGGATCCCAGCCCCTCCGCCTGTTTATGGCCAGGCTTGGATTCCAGCCCCTCCGCCTGTTTACGGCCAAGCTTCGATTCCAGCTCCTCTGCCTGGTTACGGCCAGGCTTGGGCTCCAGCACACCAAGCCACTCCAAATGTGACGTTTACGCTACAGAGTAACAACCTCTCCTTCCATTATACTGGGCCAGATAGTTGCTTAAGTACCCAGTATGCTTTCATGATTGCGGGAAACGTTGCGCAAAGCATAATGAGACGTTGTATGTTGCTGCAAGCTGCGTTTTTTTTTCCCGGTCCAAATGCTTGCTGACACTATCTTTGCTATAGGAAACGGAGCAGGAACATCGTACCGGGTGCGGGATGACTGCAGTGCTGAGGTGTGAGACAATCTTTCTCTCTTTTCTCCTTTTCCCTTTAGTTTTGGGCCATCTGAGATCTCCACTTCAATAAAGAATTAAGAAGGCTAGCATCAATGTCAAAGATGGAAAACTATCTGTAGTTGGTTCTGTAGAGAACCTGCCCCCATGAACGTGTCATGCAAGCTCGCCTTTGGATAGTTGATGTGGGCTGCCAACTGTTATGAGGAGACTCTGCTATAATGGAATACCAAGAGTAATCTTGTTGTTGAACCTTGAGGCCAGAGAAGCTGTTCAAATAGGAGTTCTTTGGCTACCTCTGAGCTGATATATCTTTTGACAGCTAGAACAATGGAAGAAGAAGCTGAGAAAAAAGCACCAAAAAAAGAAAGAAAGAAAGAAAGAAAGAAAGAAAGAAAGAAAAAAGAACCAAAAGGAGGTGTTTAACTCGAAGCTCAACCACGCGGGATCTGACAATTCGAAGGACTACACACAACAACAGGTCAATGACACAATGGAGAATAGAGCATTCTGTTATTGATCAGTTTTCACGTTTTCAAGGCTGGAGTTTTGGTCACTCTAGAGCCGAGACATCAATCAACATTTAGAAAACTACGAAGTAGCAGTATTATATTTGCAGTTTGCAGGTGAGATCATATTAACGCCCTCATATTAGATTAATGTTGATAGTGGTCGATTGCTTGGTAGCTTGGTCGCTGAAGAGACCCATCTCATTCTTGCAAGCAAACGTATACTGCTGCCTCCAGCAAGTTTGTCTGGCAGACCAAGGCTCTGAGGCAGCTGTTGGATTCTGAATTGTTTGCTCTGCACTCCCAGTTGTTGAGGTTTATGTACTTCGTCGGCTGGCGCATTGCAGCTGTGTCATTTGGTGTGTGGATCTTAGCCCAAAACCTTAATCATGCAACAAGAACAGCTGGCCTCACAGTGATTATTTTTAGATTTTTATTTTATTTTCGCAAACGCCCTCCAAAACCCGGGACTTCCTTCGCCTTTCCCAAACCACCTCCCGTGGTAATTTCTCCGCAACGCCCAATTTCCTTCTTCCCGGTTTAGTACGGCGACCTGCCCTACTTTCTGGTCATTTCAGTCTGCTCTTTTTTCTTTCTTCCCTTCCTCTGGTTTAGGGAGAAATACGGGACGGACCAAACGGGTGGTGACAACCATCATGAGGTTCTCCCTGCTTTCCATTGGCCTTCTGGCCTTGCTTACCCCTTTAACAGCAGCCTGGAGCAAGGAGGGTTAGTAGCTGGGCGCTTCAATTTCATCTGCTTACGACTCGAAGTTACAAACTGACAATCCCATCTCTTCAGATCGCGAAATCTTCCGTGTCCGCGATGAGATACGCGCGCAGGAAGGTGGAGACCTGACCTTCTACGACATCCTTGAGATCCCGCCCAATGCCAGCCAGGACGAGATAACCAAGGCCTACCGCAAGAAGACGCGCTCTCTCCACCCCGACAAGGTCCGCCAGAACCTCATCTCCGAAAGCAAAAAGCGCAAGAAGAAGGACGGCAAGCCCGGCGTCAAGGCCACGAAGCCCCCGAGCGAGTCCGAGATCCGCAGCGCGCAGCGCCAGGCCTCGGAACGACAGACGCGACTTAGTTTGATCGCGAACATCCTGCGCGGACCCGAGCGAGCTCGATACGATCACTTTCTTTCGAATGGATTCCCTACCTGGAAGGGCACGAACTACTACTACAGCCGATACAGGCCCGGATTGGGTACTGTTCTGGTGGGGCTTTTCATCGTCGGTGGCGGCGGATTCCATTACCTTGCTCTCTACATGAGCTGGAAGAGACGGAGAGAATTCCTGGAGAGGTACATCAAGTTTGCGCGACAGACCGCTTGGGGCGAGAACCTTGGTATTCCGACAGGCGGAGCCGCGGCCGCCGCTGCGAGGCAATCCTATACCGCCGATTCCGACGCTGATGCCGATGAGGAGTCATACCAGCCTCGCAACCGACGGGAGAGGCGTCTTCAGGAGCGTGAGAGTCGCCGCGAGCAAGGAAAGAAGGCGCCCAAGAAGAAGTCTCCGGCTGCCAACCAGGAGGAGCAGTCTCAGGGCGGTCCTACCGGTACTAGGAAGCGAGTCGTGGCTGAGAATGGCAAGATCCTTGTCGTCGACTCTCTGGGCGATGTCTACCTCGAAGAAGAGGATGCTGATGGCAACGTGGAGCTCTTCCTCCTTGATGTAAGTATTAACATCTAACAAATCTTCTCCAATATCACATCCAGAAAGTCATTAACTAATGGTGTTCTCTTCTCTAGCCCAACGAGCTTCGCAAGCCCGACTTCACCGATACTGCCGTCGTGCGCGTTCCCCTCTGGGCTCTCAGGATGGCCATGCTCCGTGTCGCACCTCGCCCCCAGCCCGTAGCCATTGAGGATGATGAAGAGGAAGCGGAGAAGGAGAACGAGGTGGAAGACGACGACTCGGAACCGGCGCAACCTACCCCAAGCACCGGATCGGATGTTGGAGACTTTGAAGTGTTGGAGAAGTCTACCGACTCCCTGGAGAAGGCTAAGACCACGGGTGCGCAAGCGCAGACTGGTGGTAAGAAGAGGCGAAACAAGAAGAGGTGATGCAGCCTGGGGCTATGGTGGCCCTGCGTTTGGGGAAAGGGGGTGTGGTGTTAACCACCAAATAGGGGAGCGACATCCAAGACGTGGTGCAATACCGATCACGTATATATTCAAGTACAGATCGTATCGATTGCATTGCGGTGTATTGTAGCCTAGTCTTTTTTAAACTCACAATATCAAGCTATAGACAGTCCCTGCATCATGTTCACTTTTGCGGAACCTTTCTTCATTTCAAACAAGGCTAACGGGGCGTGTTGATCGAACTCACGGTTCCCCATGCACGCAATCGCAGGACAGGTTTCCAGCCGTTTCAATCATAAACTATCACGCAGCTATTGTTTACATTTGGTAGCTGTGGGCGCTATTCGACGATATATTCTTCGAAACAGGTCGCATGATACCTCCACAACTCAGCGTCAAAAAAGACAACATTGAACTTATTCCATTTCCGGGGCACCGTCCCATGGCTGGCGCGTTATGAGAGATCTTCAAAAAAAGGTTCTTTCTTATATGAGCGAGGATTTGTTGAGGACGGCGACCTGCCCCGCGCCTTCGCTACTTCGCACGTACATCATCGATGCATGGTTAGGTCTGGGGTTCCTCGGATTGGGCTCTCCCTTCTACAGGATTCAGGCACTTAAGTTCCAAAGGGAACCGTAGCATTAACAAGAATAAATGAGATTGGTACCTAATCAGCCGAGTAAACTTTCGTGTCGCTGGTTCATTGGATCCGGGGATTCGTTTTACTCGCCGTTCGGTCATAAAAGACAAGGGCCTCGTGGTCATGCATGGTCTGGCGGCCATCTAGTGTACATTAATATCCTGGCGCGGACGCTAGGATTAGGTTTGGAGGAGGGGTCATTGATGATCTTTGTTCACGCGAAGCAGTTCAGGAGGACGACTCTTGAAGTTCGACGAGTTGGGGACTATCGAAATTGAACATCGTGTAAAAGGGATATCTCATCGTGAAGAGCAGATGGAGGGGTAATGTAGAATTGCCACTGCTTGACCTAATAGTTTATTAAGAATTGAAGCTGGATTTTTAAGACTTTGCGCGTCATGTGGCGGAATGAATCAATTCCACATTTGATCCATCTCGATCTTTGGTGTGATGTGACCCTACAAGATTGCCCCTCCATCTCCCTCCATCTCCCTCGTTCAGTACCTGGCAGAACAACCAATTCATTGTATCAACCTCGACACCTCGTGCTGCTTCAACAGCAATGTTTGTCACTCTTCTGTCTCTCTTTCAGGGTTCCCAAACGCCACCGACATGGGTTCTCGTGTAGTATACATCTTCGACCAAGTATCAATCAATACCAAGTCGGAGAACAGTGATCAACAAATGCGGTGTACGTCGTAATTCGAGACGGAATCTCAACTTCAGGCACTCACATTTCCCACCCACCCTTGCGCCTGAGAATATATAGCCAGTAGATCCCAACAAAGTGGCAATCTAAACTCTCCTTTGTTTCCGATTTCTCTGCAATAGCATCCGCGGCCTGAGCAGTTTGCACCTAATCGTTTTCCACCTGACAGTTCCCGAGACGACGTCCCTTGGCATTTCTCACCCCCTTCGACACCAGGCACCAGATCCCAGACACCAAGCCCCCGCCTGGTCTTTTATTAGTCTCCGTCTATTGTCGCGACCCCCTCAAAAGCTCCCCGCCCCCTCTCATCCCCACCATCAATCCCACTTGGCCCTTCTGAGAGTCACCCACGTACATTACTGCCTGCCCAACAAACAGCCAACAGCCTCCTCCAGCAGGAACCAGATATCCATACACGTTCTCTGTTCTTCTTCTTCCCACAAGAACCAGACAGGAGCTCAAACCCAACTCCTTCATCTTCCCCGTGCATTCCGTATATACATTGCTATTGACACTCCCGCTCAAACTCTTCACGGGTGACCGCATTTACATAGCATAGTCAATATAAAACGTTTTGACACCTATTCCCCGTCTCGGCCCTTGCTTAAGCACACTTTGAAGAACAAGAACGACTCTTCGTCGCCGAAAACGAAGATCTTTTATCAAAGAGAACCCGGTGTTTTTCACTTTTATCCTTTCGATCGCACAGTTGCCTCGTCGAGCCGACCAGGATACGACTACGTTTCCTAGATTCGTTACACTTTCCAATCCTTACTTAGAACATCGAGAAGAAACAACAAGGTATACCGCATTTTGGGAACCCATCCAACCGTTCATACCACTAACCAACCGCCCAAGATGATGCTCTCTTTCCCTCCTCCAAGACCCATCCAAGAGGACCTTGCCGCCCTTTTGGCCAGGAACCTCGTCTTGACCCCACAGCCCCCTGTCACTCACCAGGAGGTCCAGCAGCAGCAACAGCCATCCCAGTCAGCAGCGCAACCAAACCAAAGTGAACCCATTCAGTCCGTTCCCTCCCCCTGTGTTACCCAACCAGAACCAGCCCCGATTGTCTATTCCATTTCGCAGCACTATCATCATTCCACACATATCGTCCACCAGCAGCAACAGCAGCAGCAACAGCAAGAGCAGAGCCAGCCGGAAACTCAAGCACCACAGCGACCCTCGTCTGAACCGCCTCAGTCAGGGCATGAATCTTATGAGAGCATTCTCCGGTCTCACGGCGTCGACCCCTCTGCTCTTTCCCCATCCCAGACCCAACTGTTTAGGATTGCTCAACCGGAGCAAAAGATGAGGCTCCTTGAGCTTTGGAGTATTTGCCCGCCAACGAACAGGCAGGAGGATGCCGCCTTGGCATGGCACAACACAACCATGGAACAGGAAGAGCACCTCGCTAGGATGAGGTACGAAAGGCAGCAGCAACAGCAGCAACAGCAGACCTCGATGGAGATGGACTGCGGTAATACATTTCAGGGCTCCGATAGCACGTGGCTTTGCTCGTCAAGCCACGCTGAGCCATACATGCAGAGCGGGTATGAGGAACTCATGCGCCGAGATGCCGAAAGGCAGCAACGTCTTGCTGACTCGCGCAAGGATGCGTATTCGCACTTCGGTGTATCCGTGGGCGGCCCCGCATATTCCTCCGCTACGGACCCGGCTTACAAGAACGCGAATGGGGCTATGTCGGAGGCGCATTCTGGACAAACCTGGCACGGTATGCCTAAGGCACAGGCCGGGACGGCAGATGCGATGGAAATCATGTAGGCGCGGGAAGAAGGCTGGAGATTGCTAGTAGGCCTTGCACTGGTTGGGTCGGAAAGTGGTAGTCGTCTAAAGTATATAAGTGGTAGCGGAGAATTTTGTTCTTAGCCTAGACACGAAGCATGGTCGCACCCTGGACCACTGATACCCTTCATGACAAGCTAGCTGAAGATGTACAGATAGCATTAATGACGCTCTCAACGACGATTTTTTTTTTTTTTTTCTTTTTTTTTGGTTCTCTTTGGTTCAATCTCCAATAAACTTGCTGGCTTAGACCTGTCTTCGTGATGCTTCCGCTAATGACACCGCGCAAGTCGCAACTGCCACTATTTGAAACGAAAAAAGGTTAACTATTTTGTCTTTGGGAAAATTACTTCTCCTCAATGAAATAATAACCGTAATTTAATTTTTCCGTATCTTTCCATGGAAGATACTCTTTTCTAAAGCCGCGTCTCTTCAATAACCAGATATGTGGCTGGTTTCGCCACATCTGAGCCACAAAATTGAGGAAGGCTCGCACAGTACGCAGCACTGTTCAATGCTCCTGGCCTTGCCAACCACGCAGCTCGACACGCAGCTGCAGTTGCCTACCAAATCCGAAGCTCACAACACAACCTCAAGCTCCATCACCGCCGTCCATCCTCACGACCACGCCTCCAATCCTCCATATCTGCTTTTAAAGGGTCATCCTAACCGACACCCAGATACATAATTTCTCCGAAGACTAATTTTACCTCACTCTCAAAATGGTAATGCTTTTCCTCCCCCTCGCTCTCTGACCAGCAATGCTTACCTTTGGCCTACTCGCCCTTTTGCAGACGTCAATCGGCACAGGCTACGATTTAGCCAACGCCATCTTCTCCCCCGACGGTCGAAATTTCCAAGTCGAATATGCCATCAAAGCGGTGGAGAACGGCGGCACCACTGTCGGCATTCGATGCAAGGACGGCGTTGTGCTTGCTGTCGAGAAGATCGTTAGCTCCAAGCTCCTCAAAGCCGGCGCCAACAAGCGAATCGCGACAGTAGATAGGCATGTCGGTGTTGTATGTGTCGCTCACCCATCGAATTCTAAGTTCAATTCTTCTTTCGATTTGCAATGTGGACATGCGATTGCTAACAGGACCACTTTCCCCCCGTCAGGCCTTTTCCGGTATGATTCCTGATGGCAGGCACTTCATCTCCCGTGCCCGCGACGAGGCCGTTTCCTGGCGCGACCTGTACAAATCCCCCATCCCCACCAATATTCTCGCCTCCCGCATGGGTTCCTATCTACAAGCCTACACCTGCCACTCCTACGTCCGCCCCTTCGGCATCACCGCCGTCATTGCCGGCTTCGACCCCGAACATGAGCTCCCCGTCGACGGCGAGGTTGGCGCCGGCCCCTCTTGCGGCGCCGGTGGCAAGGTAGAGGGCAAGAAACACGGCGGTCCCTTCCTCTACATGATTGAGCCCTCTGGACTCTACTGGGGATACTACGGTGCTGCGACGGGTAAGGGTCGCCAGGCGGCCAAGGCCGAGCTGGAGAAGCTAGATCTCGCCGCCGGAACCTTGACCCTAGAACAGGCTGTCAAAGAGGCGGCGAGAATCATCCACAAGAGCCACGGAGAGGAGAATGCGAAGGACTACGAGATTGAGATGACTTGGATCAGTGGCCTTGATGGTCCTACCAAGGGTAGGCATGTTGAGGTTCCCGAGGAGTTGAAGGAGGAGGCCCTGAGGCTAGCTAAGGAGGCGGAGGATGAGGAGGAATAAATGCTGTTTTTTTTCTTGCGACGGGTTCTGGTGAATGAGATGAGCACATGTACTTGTATCATAATTGAGGTTGTAGGAACTGGGTTCATAGATTATTGAATCAAGCGCGTCTGCTACCCTCCTGCTATCTGACTGTCTCTTCAGTTTACTGCCCGAACCCTATCGATAGTATTGTAACCGTCCATTCCTATCTCATCAGGCCTTGCTTCCATTTACCAAAGAGTTGCTGAGTGAGTGGTTAGGCGACTGGGCGCTAACTTAAATGCCATTGACGCTGGATCAACCGCCAAATTAACATCCGGAATAAGCAGGCGGTGAGGCCCACTGGACGGCAAAAAATCGCAACTCTCCATCTTTTTTTCCGATTTTCTAATTTTTTAGATTCGTTCCCTTTAACATCGGACAGATAACGGCATCTTGCACACTCCTTTCTACATTTCTCACAAATTTCGCGCAATGGCAAAGAAACGTGCTCCCTCTTCGGAGGAGGCACCCCAGGTGCCCAATAAAAGGTTTAAAAGAGCCAAAAATCCCCGAGACGACATGTACAAAGCCCTCGAGAGCTTCACAAGCTTCCCGACCCAGCCCGACTGGGAAGACCACCAGACCGAGCAGAACCTGTACAAGGCATTGACCCACAGGATTCGCGACCTGCAGGTAAAAGCCGCTGCTCTCGTGTCCAAGGCCCTTGTTGGAGAGTCCGAGACCGAGGAGCCGTCCGAACCAACGATTTCCGAAGAAGAATTCAAGCGACACCTCGAGAGGTACCTATTTCCCGCTCTAACGAAGGGCGACACGGTATCCCGCGAAGGTACATTTAGGGTTATCTCGAAAATTCTCTCTGCGCTTTTGGGCGACAGGAATCTTTCGTCTACGCTGTACCCGAGTTTGACCTTCGACGAATTCCTCTCGATGCTCGTTCGATTCACACCGCTTGACGAGTCGAACACTGGAGACGACCAAGCGCTTGGCCGGCTTTTGGGCTTGAGATGCTTTGTCCAGAAGGAGGTGCTTGAAAAGGATACTGAGCGGTGGAGGAAGGTTTTGCCGATGCTTCTTGATCTTGCGTCTAAGAACATCGAGCTGAGGCTTGCCTGTGGAGCTATCATTGCAGATGCTGTTGGGTCACTGAGCAAGGGAGAGGCCACATGGACGACTAATGCCATCGCGTCTTCTCCGCTTGCAAAAACCGCCGAGGGGTTGGCGATTTGGGTCGCTGCTCTTCAGCATCACCCGGATCTCAAATCCGAGAATTGGAAGAAGCCAGTATCGGCGAGGTCTGCACCTAATGTTCTCAACCTCCTGAAGGAGAGCGCTACCAAGGTCTTGAATGAAAATGCCGGCCCGGTCAACAACGGCAAAGCTACTTGGTCTGCCCCGTTACACTTTGTGTGGAGTAGGCTGGCTAAATACTTCGGGAACCTTGGTCAGGCTGGTCGGAAAGACTTTGCTTCGATCTGGACACCCGTGGTGGAAGGTAAGGATGCCGTGGGTCTTAACTACTCGTCAATCGAAGTTCAACTAACTTGCGCGGCTAGACTATCTTTTTGCGAAGAACGCCACGGATTTGCAGAAGGCTCGCGGCTTTTTAATATTCCAGCGCATGCTTATCGAAGTGGCAACAGATGAGGCCCTTGTCAACACCATTTTCAGCCGTAATCTCATGTCTTGCCTCCAAAACCATGCTTCCCGTAAAGATCGCCATCTCCACGGCGTTGCAATTGAGACTCTTTCGGCAATTGAAGAGATTGCTGCCCTTAAGCCTAAGAGTATCGTACCAATCCTGAAGAACCTCCTCGGAAACAACGGGAGCTACGAATTTGAGCAGCGGACGAATACCAAGACGATCGAAAAAGTTTTGAAACCTACGGAGTCCTCTGATATTAAGCAGGTTCTGGAGCTCTTGGAAGCACCATTTGCGAAAGCTTCAACGTACGTGTCACGCGTTTTGTTATTCTTTGTCTCCGTATCTCATGTTAACCCGTCGTCTTATAGTGGAAAGACCAATCTATCAGCAACCGGAAATGCGTATATGCGCTACCTTTACTATCTGGCGAGTACGGGGAACTCGATCGGGGCGTTGCAGAAACTTAGCACACTGGCTTTCGGCAGCTCCAAAGTCACTTCTAAATACGGTCTTACTGAGTCAGCCAAGGCAAACTGTCTGACGCAGCTCGAATCGGCCCTTGCAAGGGCTGGACGATCGGTCGAGAACTTTGACCTTCTGTGCCAATTGGTGGCTGGCGTGAAGCCAAAGAACGTCGAGCTGGACGATGACGTATTGGAACAACAAAAGGCCGTCGTGAAGACTTTGGACAAGATCCTACGGGACCCGGAATTCGTGCTCTTCGGTGACAGGCAGTTGACGAATGCTCTGGCGTTGGCCCATGCCATGCCACTATTCATGGTGTATAGCGGAGTCCCCGGTGCGGACAGCCAGCTCATAGCCATCAACAGCCTCTTAGAGACGTGTGAGACCAAGGGCGAGGATGCAGGCTTGCAGCTTGTGATTGTCTACATCTTGCTACCCATAATGTACCGACCCTCGTCCTTAGGACGGCAGGTGTCGAAGCACATATTTGAAGCAATTGCGCCACGGCTGGATATCGAGACGATGCGGATGCTTCTAGAACGACTTGAGTTTACGGAGGATAAAGCTGGGTACTCGGAGTTGGTCCAGTTCATCGACGCGCCCGAGGGATCGGATGATGAGGATGAAGATGAGGAAGACGATGGATCAGGGAGCGAGAACGATTCTGAAGATAGTGATGAGGATGGTGAAGAAGAATCAGGAGACGAGAGCGACGGCACTGCGGATATTGACCAGGAGCAACTCCTTAAGGCTCTCGGCTCTCACTTGCTCGATACCAACGGAGAAAAGGCAGGCGATGGGGAGGACGACGAGTCCGATAGCGAGGAAGAACCCGACATGTCAGACTCCGAAATGATGGCTATGAATGATACGCTAGTAGCGGCATTTGATCACATCAGCGGCAAAGGAGCCAACGAAGCCAACGAGGCAAAGAAAGCCACCGCCGGCGTGGTGCAATTCAAGAACAGGATCCTGGATCTGGTGGAAGCCTACCTCCAACAACAGCCCCGGAACACCAAGGTCATATTTGCGCAGTTCCCCTACCTCGTCCGACTGGCCAGTCAGACAAAGTCATCTGACATTCGAGCGCGCGTGGTCGACATACTCTCGCGCTACAGGAAACGATTCCTCAAGGACAGGAAGCAATGGCTCGAGGAAGGGAAGCGGAAGAAACAAGTCTCCGACTACGTGTCCACCCTGGAAGACGTCCACAAGGAAGTTGGGCACAGGGACTCTCAGATGTTTGCCAAAGCTGCTTCGGCGGCATGTCTCACGATAGCGGCGGCGGTTGTGGCGGCGGACAAGAAGAAGATTGGCCGGTTGAACAAGATGCATGAGAAATTGGAGGCGGAGTTGATGACGGAGAAGAGGAAGAAGGTCCACAAGAGCTTCTTTGAGACGTGGAAAGCATACCAGCAGAGCGTGAGCGGCGGAGCGGAATAGAAACGAAAGGGTCTTCAAATGTATTATATTTAGATTCATGGAGCGAACGGGCGACGTCTGTGCTTCGGCGACTCTCCTTGGTTTGATCTAGCTAATCATGATAGCACTGCGTGACGGCCGAAATATAGGAAAGAGTCTTGACCTGTGTCATGATCCTGAAAATGGCTGTGACCACAGTACCAAGTACCGGCTGGTCGATAAAAACGCAGGACGGGGATCACGAGGCATTGACGAGTAGGGTCTCAGCGCACATGGAAATGCCTCTTCTAAAACTATACGAGGTCTACCCCCAAGTAGGGTTCGATTCATTCTCCATATCCTCGATGGCATCAGTAAGACCTGCTAGAAACGTCATCTTTTTTCTTCTCTCTTTCCCCATTGCCTGCCCCCATAGATTCTGCAAAGAGAGACATCAATGCCTTGCTGCTGAATTTCACCAAGCCGGCGGCATGCGGATCGCTGCATTGTTGGGAAACGGCATCATTTGATTCCAGCGCAGAACCCGGGTTGCGGAAGTCGCAGAATAAATATTTGAGTGGGTCTCTGTGAACCGGGTAAGACATCAGATGTCGTGTCAGGGTTGTACGTGTACTTGGGAATGTGTAGATCCAGGCCCCTTAGTATCACTTCTATGACCGACATCAATAGGTTTCATTGCTTAGTTTGTAGGCAGGAACGAGCCGACGTCTCCACGTCATTCACAGTGACTTCGTGGCTGGGATATATCTAGCCAGGAACTGAGAAGCGGTGCGAGTTTTGCTAATGATTGAAAGCCATTGGATGATGACAGCGACTCAATGAGACTCCAAAGGAGTAAAAGTTGAAGTCGAGTTTGAGTTCGTGATGAAGCAGCCGGGGACAGGAGAAGGTTCTGCGCTGGGATCGGACGGCAACGCGAGGATGGATCTTGTACCTGTACTTGACATTGCGAGAGTTGTGCCATTTCCCTCCGTTTCGCGACGATGCCTCTGAGACAGGAGGCTCAGAAAAGCACTGAGCGAGCTTCAGAGCTGCTGTTGCGGACGAGTAAGGGTCACAGCTCAGGCAATCCCCCAAGTATGAAGTACACACTCATTAGGAATAGGTGGAGAGAATCGAGAAGCAAGATCAATCGCACTTGTGTAACGAGGATGGGGTCTTATCCGACCTTATCCCACCGAAATCCCCACATTATTTAATAGATTGGATGGCGTCTTTCAGGCTGTTCTGTCAGTGCTCCCATTGGCCCCTGGTCGAGGATATATCATCGTTCATCCTTCTCGTCCCAATTAAGTCTTGTGGGATTCTTTGGTCGTTGACGGGAGGTTCGTCTGTAGCGTTCTCGACAGTAATGGCGTGGACAGAAATGTCATTCATATTAAGCGACAGCCTTCGTAAATATTAAGGAGAGGGTGAGACGGCGAGTCCACAAGCGGGAAAGGCTGGCTTGGCCAAATGAGGATTGCTCCTGGCCGGAAACCTGCAGCTATTTGTCTTGGAAATTGAAACCCCCCGACTCGTTCGAAGCACTCAGCAGACTTAGAAATGCAATCGAAGACAGCGACAACGTGAAAAGAAGATCGCCGAATCTCACGAGCACGCAGAAAAGGGGGTAACTCCTTCCCCGACATCTCTCTTCTCTTGTGCCTGGCCATTGCGCATCGTTCCTTCCTTTTGTTCTGCCATTGTCAGTCAAACTGTTCCAAGTTTCTCTTCTCCACCCTCATTTCCAAGGCCTCACGCTTGGCGGTTTTTTTTCTCTCTCTCTCTCTTCCTCTCCAGGGAACTGAGTGATTTTTGCCTTTGTTTTACGATTCGCCTTCCGATTTTTGGTTGCTGCCGACAACTCAACCCGAACGAAGATCGACGCTCCGTCCTGCGCACGCGACCACCTTCCGATTCCGATCGTGGCGAAGATGTTCTTCCCCACCCGGCGTCGGGCCTGGTGGCCTTTCGTCGTGGTGGCCGTCATTATTTTTCTCATGATCAAATTCCAACTGAGCGACGGGTCTTCAAACCTCTCCGATTCCGATAGCAATGCCCGCGCCACCCACCACCCGGCCCAGAAACCCAAGGCCAATTCCGGTCCTGCTGTTGCCGCAGACGACTCCGACGCCGTCAAGTTCCTCCGGAGCCAGAGGCTAAGGGAATTTTGGGACGAGTTGTTCGAGTCCCTTACAGATGGCGACATTGGCGTAGAGGAGCTTGGGATTTCCGACGATGGAGTTTCGACTGAATATGTTGACCCCAACTCGAATTACGGTGGCGAGAGGGTGCGTGAGAACCACCTCAACATCTCTGACGAGCAGATTATATCGATGCGAAATCATTACATATCCTTTGCCTCCAAGATTGAGCCTCTTGCGAGCCGCATGCCGTACTGGAAGAATACCCGGGGCGTCGTGATGCCGGGCGGCGGAAAGTACACGCGCATTGCCCTGAGCTCGATCTTGCTCCTCCGCCATGTCGGATGCAAACTTCCCATCCAGGTTTTCATCGATAACCATAGCGAGTACAACCCTCACATCTGCGAGAATACCTTCGCGCGACTCGGCGTCGAGTGTGTGATCTTTCAAGACCTTATCGGAGATACCAGAATCGGTGCCTACCAATATAAAGTTCTCTCCATCATCTTTTCACCCTTCCAACACGTTCTCTTCCTCGATGCCGATGCTTGGCCCCTCGCTGATCCGGCCTTCTTGTTCGATACTGAGCCCTACAAATCTAACGGTCTCATCACATTCCCGGATTTCTGGGTCTCGACTGCATCCCCCGCCTTCTTCAACATCACCGGTACCCCAATGAACTCCCCCATGGAGCGGAGGAGTTCTGAGTCCGGTATCCTGCTATATAACAAGGAAATTCACGCCGACAGTCTCATACTCGCCTCTTACTTCAACTTTTATGGTCCCGGCCTCTACTACAAACTCCTTACCCAGGGAACCCACGGCGAAGGAGACAAAGAGACCTATCTTCATGCGGCGCTTAACCTAGGCAAGCCCTTCTATGATGTCAAGGAACAGAACAGCATCCTAGGCCGTCATATCAGAGGGAACTTCCAGGGCTCTGGAATGGTTCAGCACGACCCGAATGATGACTGGAAGCTCCAAGAACACATCCGGGCCAAGGGAGAGCCCAAGAAGACTAAGGACGATAAGATCGTCAAGGCGAAACCTCTCTTTATTCACCATAACCTTTGGAAGATTGATCTTTATGATCTCGGCAACGACCTCTCCCCGATCCACGACCTGAATGACCAGGGCAAGCTTAGCCGTATGTGGGGCGACCAGAAGGAGCTCTTTGGCCGGATCGGCTACGATGCGGAAGAAATGATGTTTAGGGTGCTCGTCAGTTCCAAGTGCAGGGTCACTACTCCTCGTGAGGAGTGCAGAAGATTGTGGAAATACTGCCAAACTATCTTCAAACCTGCTACTAGGTGATTGGGAATGACTTGCACCTTTTCGTCTCGCATCTGGACGGATTCACCGACCATCTTCTTTTCTTCCTATCCTCTTAACTATCGTATCCTCTCTCTGCAGTATACCTCCCTTCTGCTATCGAGAGCATCAACAATTATGGCGCAAATCTAGGTTGCGACGGTATCATCCGGTTCACATTTCTCATTTTCCCGGACATCGGTCTGGTCCTCCTCCGCAGGGATTTCTCCCGCTGGAACGAAGGTTTTCACGGCGAATTGGCGCGGTCGGTGTTTTCATGAATATTTCGATTTACTCATTTTTCTCTGGACCTGGTAGGCATATGGTGTGGTGAGGGGGGATTTGATGAGAGCTTAAGCAGAATCGCGGCCAAGGCCATGCAACTTCCCTCGTTACTCTCTTCTGATGTATTATATTTGTTATTCACGATACCTACACTAGAGTAATTGCATTTCTGATGATTTCCAAAGATACAAGATATTTTCTTCGTGAATTCATCCGCGGTTGCCGTATAGACAGTGCCTCTTGCAAGGACTCGTTTCCCCTAAAAACTAGCGATTCTAATCCGTGAAGAAAATCGGAAGCCTGACTGAGTATATATTATCAACATATTTGTGTCGATACCCGATCGATAGCGCTTCATCCCTACAAAGTATCATCTCTATCCCTACAAAAACAATGCCACGAGCTCCTCGACCTTCGGCTTCATTCTAGCTACCTCGCCATCTCAGACATACCGATGCAAAGCTATCCCGCGGCGTTGCTTCCAACACCGAGACGCTGTCTACGACTAGTTTCACCCTCATCCACCAATTGCTGGCTTCAAGCTACAATGGTGGCAACCCCTTGAACGGGGTGGCACCGTTTTGTTCTCCCACAGGCGAGTACAAGTGCCAGTCCAAGGCGGCTCGGGCTTGGGACCTCGACGCGGCTCAATCCAAGATGGTCCTGTGTATGGAGCCAACGAGAGGTCCAACAGGATTTAGTACCTGCTCGGGGAGAAAGCGGGACGGCTGGGGAGCATAAATATACAGCATTTCATTTATTCGGGGTTTGAACGAGTACAGTAGGCTCAGCAACACTTCCCGTGCGGCAATTTCTTACCATCTCCAGAGGTTCTTTGGGTATCTGCCGTTAGAGTTACCAGTACCATGTCCCTTAAGATTACGCCCACCGAAAAATTCGGAAGTCGCCCAAGACATCCGGACGTCCTCCGCATGTTGTCTTGGTGCAGTCCGGAGTCCGGACGATCCCCGACTTTGACGCGGATTCACGTGATTCCGTGACAAGACACGCTTCCGTGGATGCAGCTAGCAAAAATTTCCACGAACTTGTTTACATTGGTCTTGGCAATGTTTACTTTGAGTCGCGAAATGCAGCTTTTTTCTCCGGGCACGTCGGACGGACGCGGGTGGAGAAAAAAAAAAAAGAAAAAAGAAGGCCTTTTTTTTGGCAGACATTTAATACAATGATCACGTCTCAACAAGAATTTTAGCATAAGGCTAGGGGGGCCCCAGAGCACGGGCGTTTGATGAGCCTGAATCAAAACGAACCGTTCAAAGCTCTTCGTAACTCCGTCGCATT